TTTGTGTCCAGCCTTTAGTGCTTTATTGCTGACTGAGTCTTTAGTACCAATGAGTTCACTCCTGGACAGAAAGAGCGAATGTTCTCAACATTTTTTGGATGGCGCAGAAAATAGATAAAGGCTGCGAATATGCTTCGATTCAAATATCTAGGTCGTATCATACTGAAAAACTGTTCAAAAGTATTGTAATACAAGCATCACGTCCAAAACCTGTCGTGCATACCCATCCTGAGCTGTTTGCAGATATTGCAGAACGTGAAACTTTATTATAGACTATCTTGATGATAAGCGATAGCCTCCAATGCCGATTTGAAACTGGCACCTATACGGCGAACTTGCCCTTCTGCCTTTCAAAAGTTTCCAATTTTCCCAAGACGTGATTGATTAGGCTTATACCGCCTTTTGGGCTCTTTCTTGCGGTGTCCGAGCGAAACGAAGCACATTTCGTCTGCAGGATGAGTTGTGCGGTGTAAATTCTGAGTCAAGCTTTGAAGGCAGATGAGCATAGACTTCTGGTAGCTTAGGAGAGCTGTTGTGATTGCACTTTGCCGTGTGGCCTTCTCGGAGGGCGTTGAACTTTTGTTTAAGTTTCTATATTCCTCGGCAGCGCGTTCCGATCGTACTTTTATAGGAGCATGACCTCAACATGTAGTGAATCATTGGGCGGTAGCATAGGTGACTCAAGCTGGGAGCTCAGAGTCCAGAATGTGAATAATGTTAGCAATATTATCGCCATCTTTCATAGTTGCTGATTCAGTATCAGGGGCGGTCTTTAAGATAACACAAGCAGTGAAGGCAACATTTGAGACTCATGTAACATGGACTGACGGAATGTATTAGTCTTTTTGTCTTCCACTATCAATGCACATGAAATCTTCTATCAGGTGCATTAGTCTTATGACACATGCAATGAGCACGCATGCTTTTTCTGCCTTAGTCACGGAAATCCGGTGGTAGTCACTGATAAACATTACTTCATCTTGATCAACCTCAGCTATTACTAATTGAGCACTGGTTTGCGTCTATTGGCACATACAGCCTCCAGACTTCGAGCGGGGTTTCATAGCACCACCTTAGAAATCTTAAAACCTCCTGGGATCCTAGTCTGGAAAACCCCGGTTGGATCGTACTTGGCAGCAATCTCCTTCAGAAACCTGACATTATCCTCACCATACGTGCTGATTGGATCTTGGGCAGGGTTCACGTAGTTGAGGTACCGCCATGCCGTCGCCTTCCCATTGGCTTCGGCGTAAGCCTCGAGCTTCGCGGTCATAGCGGCCAGCTTGGCATGAGCCAGCGCCTCTTGTTCTCCAGTGCGAGTCTGGGCTTGTACGAGCCAAACAATCGAGTTATGTGTCAAAGATGTATCGAGACCCAGGACGTTGTTGCCGCTGCCCTTTGTCGCAAAGTGCCTGGGTAGGGGCTGACTGACGACAGAAAGACCGAGATCAGGCGAGGGGATTAGGGCCTGAAGTTGTATAAGTAGCTCATCATATAGCTCCGACATCTTTGTCATCATGTCAATGTCGTTGTGGAAACAAAGAGAGAACCATACGTTCCTGGGTAATGTCAGCAGGAAAACACGAGATGAATCATAAGTGTGGATTAGTCTCATACCTCTTGCCTCCAGCCGTGGCATAGTCCGTGATGAGGGTGCCGTACGTTTTCCGCTTTCTGTCATCGATAATGGCAGGAAGACTTGCAAGAGGAGCGAATGAGGTTGAGTTGGCGATGCCAGCCGTGTTAATGGCATTGATCGCAATCATGGGCGGCCCCTCCCCAGAATACGTAAAGGTGACGACCTCGGTGTCTTCTGGATGATCCTCGTTGATGTCAATGAGCCTCACAAACTGCTCCATCACAGCCTGCTTCTGGTCATAACTCATGAACAACAAGCCCCCATAGAGACCTCCGTGCGCCGCCGGGAACGTCTGCATGTCGAAACGAGTCACGATACCAAAATTGCTGCTGCCACCCTTCAGAGCCTTGAACAGATCTGGGTTCTCTCCCGCGTTGGCGTTCGCGATTGACCCGTTGGCCAAGACCACCTCGTAGTTTTTGACATCGTCGCAGGCAAAACCTCTGGTACCGGTATGGAACGAGGCGCCGCCGCCGAGAGTCAGACCTCCGACGCCAACATTACCCTCGCGTCCTCCGGTCACTGATTGGCCGTATTTCTCAATCTCCTTGTAGACCGATCCCCACCTGGCACCTGGTTGGATCGATGCCGTGCCCTTTTCAACAGTTAGAAGCGATCCATTACGTTGTCACATAATGGAGACACATACACTGCAGTTTTTGTAGATTGTTGCATTCATGCGGCTGAGGTCAATTGTCACGCCTTGAGCCACATTATTGGAAGGATAGTGAGAGTGACCACCAGCCCGAACAGCAATATCCCAGTTGCCAGCTGAGCTCGTCTTCACGAGAGCTGAAAGGGCGGACGAGACTTCCTCTGTTGTCTCGGGCTTGACGACGCACCATGGGTGAAGCTGCTGGACGGTTCCGGACCAGTATGATGCGATGCTGGAGTTATACTCCGAATCAGGCGGAAAGAACACCCGATTAACTAGTCCAGCTGCAATAAGAGCATCGCACTGCGTTGAAACAGTGTCAGCATCTTTTGGGTTGAACCCTCCAGGAGGCCAAATTGCAGGGAAAGGAGCGCACTTACACCTGAGTAACCACTTACGTCCGGAACTTGACGGATGCTTGGTTGGAAGCCTGCAATGATTTGAGCAGTCGAAGAATCGAGAAGCAGAAGCGCGGTGGAAAAGATGGAAAGAAGAGCCATGGTTCCGAACGTTGGCTGCGTCGCGGTGGACACAAGAGGTCTTCTTCAGACTTCAACGTCAGGCCTCCTGGGAGATCACATATCAACGAACGACTCAGCTCTGGAAGAAAATGCGTGCAGCTTCATCTTAAGCAAAGCCTGCGTCGCTCGAGGTGAGAGATAGGATACGAAGAAAGGTACACTCTGAAAGCGAATCCGAGATGGAGTCGCAACCAAGCATTTGAGAAAGAGACTATTATGGCAAGCGATGGTGGCAAAGTAAAGGGGCCCCTGACAAAAAGCCACGATAACATGCTGAATTTAGCAAATCACGCCGTCACAGATTGCGGTTCTAAATTGCGGATATTTAGCTGCATCGCGCGTAATGTAATGATGCAGAACCGATACGCTGTGCCACCAACCTGCAGTTGGTTCCAACAGGTGGCGAGGTCCGGAAGGCTCCCGAAGTGGCCTTGGCAATAAAGTATTGTTGCAACCAACAGTTTGAGACACTTGGTACACGGTCAGCGAAGAACAAGACAACCCACTTGGGATTAAATGAGTTCCTCAATACGCAAAGTACTCCGGACTTCTCTATCCTAAGGATCAGTAGAGTAATTCAACATCCCTTCGTATTGAACGAGCTTTGAAAGTTCGTTTGTCATCTGAAGCGGTGGAATCCAAGTGTGAAATCCTCCTTGGAAATTTTGAATCCTTGTCTCTGCTCGTTGGTTGCAGATTTCTTACGCTTGCATGCGTCCAACAAACATTGGCGCGCCAACGGGGCACGTATTTCCCTGCCAGGGAATATCTGTAACTCCGCTTTCAGTTAGAGATTCACAGGCTCTAAGTACCTTATTATCAAAGAAAGTTAATTCTTTCTAAGTCATAAGTATAAGAATATAGTTTTAATAAAATAATATAGTACTTCTTTAGTACTTAAATTAAGATATTCTTTTAAGCTTATTATAAAAAAAAAAAAATTATATTACTAACTATTTATTATCGAGGTCTATAAATAATATTATAACTTTAATTATTATAGTTTTAATTACTATAGTTTTAATTATAATAACTTTATTTATAATAAATAAAAAGTCGAATTATAAGTTTTTTAAAAGCCTCTTTTTAAGAACTATAAGAGCCTCTAAATTAAATTAAAATACTTATTAAAATATTAATAACTAAACTAACTTTATAATAATAATTTTAATAAAAAACTTAGTAAATAATACTAAAAACCTCGCTAATATTAAGTACGATTTATAAAATATAATAACGTAGTTATAAAATATTATTAATATATTTTATATTAAAAAAAGTATTATTAATATTAATAAAACGGATAGGGCCGTATTAATATAATACCTTAGCTTTTTTTTATAGTTTAAAAATAATTATTTTAAATAGTATTAAAAATCTATTAAAAAGCTCTTTTAAATACTTTAATATATTTATTATTATTTTTATAATAATAAGATTTTTAGTACTTATATATAAGAATAAATTATTTATTTTTAAATAATAATACTAGCTTATTAATAAGCTATCGAAACTACGATTTTAATAATTTCTTAATAAAAAAGAGGATAGAATAAAGGAAAGGATAAGTAAGAAAAGGGTTAAAGTTAAATAGTACGGAATTTAAGGGCAGGGTAGTGTCTATATGTACTGCGGCAATCCTCTAGTAATGCAAAACGATAGAGTTAAACAGTGGATTCACAGGCTCTTTCCCAGAGTATGGCTTCAAAATCATGCTAAGATTGATCTCTGGGTTCCATAAGGGATTTACTGCTGGAGGGGTCCCCTGCTCGACTGACAGACTTGACCTCATACATTGGAGGTAAGCATGGGTATACCGAAGGACCAACAAGCCGTTATGCACATTGGGAAACCTTGGGAAGATTTCGTTCTGTTACAGCAACAGGAAATTTTGTCCTTGGTATCAAAAGTGCTCGGGGGTTATCTCACCCCTGGTGTTCTCAAGACGCCACCCGACCGGGAGTTCACAAGTTCCAACCGGTTCGCTGACCCATTCAAACCACCGATTTTCTGAACACGGTTGGTGTCTCCATTCGGACTTTGTCATGAAGCAGCACTAGTCTGTAGGCTTTTCTTCTACGTTCTGCTGAATTTCACATCATAGGTCCTCTTAAGTCTGCGGCTGCAGGAATAAACGGTGATTTCAGACTTCAGTTCAAACCGTTAATGTCAACAACCCTTCTCGATGATCCCATTGGAAATCACCCCACGGGTTGAGAGTCTGCCTACCCCAGTCAATCCAGGTGATCCAGCAGCACTGATCAATGGCTCAATATGGCCCATGGCAGCAATCTCGACAGTCTTTCTAGCCCTCCGAATCTACTGCAAAGGCTTCAGAGTCAGGTGGATGATGTGGCTGGACGACTGGCTTTTGATCGCCGGATGGGTCTTTCTGATTGCCTCGCAGTCCTTCTTGAGCGAGATGATGAGGCTGGGGTTCGCGAGAACCTACGGCGTCACGCCGGCCATGAGCACGATGTTGTATTGCGCCGACAACTGCCACAAGATCTCCTTGGCTCTGACAAAAACTTCGTTTGCCGTTACGTTGCTTCGAATTGCCTCTGGGTGGCAGAGATACATCATCTGGTTCTTGGTCATTACCATGAACATCCAGTTCATCGTCCACATCATTCTCACCTGGAGAGCTGTTTGTCCTAGAAGACCTGGAGATACAACTCCTCACCTTCCAGGCTCATGCTGGTCAGCACAAGACGCAATCACCTTGGGAATATTTGGAGGATGTATGTCCTCTTTCCCGCGAAGTTATTCTATGCACTCCGGCTTTCTGACTATTGATAGTGTACTCTGCCGTCTCAGATTTTGTTCTCGCGTTATTACCTTGGAAGATCGTTTTGAGCCTACAAATGAGGAAGCACGAAAAAATCGGCGTTGGAATGGCCATGAGCATGGGGATCTTGTAAGCACGGCGCCACTTTCCACCTTCTTTCTCCTTTTCTGGAGAGTTTCAGCTAACCCGAAGCTGCCTGGCCAGAGCGGGTGTGATGGGAATAATGAAAGCTGTGCAGAGCATCGCGATCATGGACTTCCTTGGCCCTGATTGTGAGTAACTGGCCCCATAAGTTTCTCCTCACGTTCACTGATGACCATTGTTCAAGACTTTTGGAAGGTCTGCATCTTTTGGGTCTGGGCGATGGCAGAACCAAATGCGACCATCATTGCAGCCTCCATTCCCGTTCTTCGAGTGCTCTTCCGAAACACTCTGAGTAGCCGACCTTCAGAATACCCCTCTGGCGCATACATTCGATCGGATAACCTCAGCAAGTTTCAGAATCGCGGCATGTCTGCTATTTGCTCCTCAAGAAATATGGACCGCGACAAGAGAGACAATGACAGTGATCAGGAAATTTTAGGTGGGATTATGAAAACAACGGAGGTATCTGTGGACTCCATCAACTATGATGGCCAAGGCCGTCGGTTCGGGAAGAAGGCACTACGGGAGGAGCACGGCATCGAGCTTGCCAATCGATGATCACTGGTGTCCAAAGTTACGGCCGATTATGAGGCGTCCACGTAAGAGAGACATCAAATGTTATTTCGTGGGTTTGAGGAGTCGGTTATGGTGAACTGAGATGATTTACTGCGGTGCCCAATGGGTCTATGACATGACCCTGGCAAAATATTGAGAGCCCTTGTTGAATGAGAACGGAATTAGGCCCAGCAGTGACGCTTTGTTGAAGGTCAGAGCTCATCGGTACTATACTATCCATTCCTCAACCTCCTCGCCTCATTCATTATCCATGCTCTTGCTAGCCATGAATTTCTAATGCTTTGTATCTTCGGAGCAGTTCCTCCCCTAAAACCAGGTTTGAATGTCTATCGTGGCTCCCGGTGTCGTCGAGTCGCCCGCCTAGAGTTGCCACGGGATCCACCGCCGCCAGAGAATCCGAAACACATCTTAATTGGCTATGTCTGCTTTCTTGGTCTTTGTGATTTTGTATCTTGTAGTCGGGTGTCCTGCTGTGGGGTACCTTAGGTAATGTGGTCTGAGGAGGAGTCGATTGTCGGTTACTTCGGTGTTGTTTACACTTAGGTAGGTAAGCTAGTATGAGGTGCCTTGTCTTTGGGCGTACTTAGCATTCAATTTATTGCTAAGTGGTTCTCTTTCTCTCCAGAACAGTGAATTCCTCCAGGCGTAGTGAATGCAACACACCTGCTGAGATGACGATGATGACAAATTTGGCCATTCGCCCTATCAATAGTCCACATGCTGCGTTGCGATCTGCCTAAATTGCATCCCTGATTCATAGTTTTCGCTTGTTTCAATCTAGATTGCGCCCCTGAACCGCTTCTGAATTTCCATCCATCCAAAGAAGCCTAAAGCTCCATGGAAGTAGGGACGGTTCATGGAGTCATTTGTGGTGGTATATATGCGTTCTCAATGCGTGCAGTTGAAGTGCCGGCATAGCTTGTTGGAACAGGCTTGTTTGACGAGACATCAAGTCATCCGCACGGGAAACTAGCTTGAAAGACACACAGAAAAACTTGTATTCAACCGTCAATCTACCGGTTCTAATTGCTTACAAACTACTGATATCGTGCGCTGTGGAATGTCAGCAATTCATCTGCAATTGACGAGGAAACCTGAGGAAGCTTTAGCTCGCAGTGTCGTCAACTCCTCAATTGTTATCACTTTTGAATGGCCATTCTCATTTGCCGCTCCGATTCGTTGGTTCGTCCAATCTAGGCCCAGTCAAGCAGTTGATGAGTTGGAACGAGATCCGATCACTGTCCACTGGTTGGTGGTTGAGTCTCGATTACTCAAGTACGTAGCTGTCATGCTAGCAGACAGCTTGATTAGTTCCAGAAAAAGCCCGAAACATGATCTCGCAAATTCTAGAATCTTAGTCATGCGCAAAGTTAAGCGCTAAATGTCATAAGCCAACTCGTTCTTTATATGTGAGTTTGCCTAGGCTTTAGGGATACTTGTCACAAAGCTCGGACGACTCGACAAAGTGGGAGACGCAAGATAGCAGGGACAAAACAGGGCATGCCACGTTTAGACAACAAACACAAGCAGCCGCCTCCATACCAAGCGCTCCGCTTACGCACAAACAAATTCTTGGTCAACAGTTCGCACACTTGATCTTTTTACCTTTCTTTTTTTTCCGCAAAATATTTCAGCAGATTTTATGAAGGTTGGCATTGTTGGACACTTATTCTCTTATTCAATCATGACGAGAACATGCTCAACATATGATCTGAATATGTTCGGGGCAGTACAAGAGGGGACCCCTAGCGCGGGATCCTTTTACATGGGGCTTTTCTTAGCCCCAAAACAATCGCCGCCCGGCAATCTGAATGGCCTGAAGGGAAGGAACCTGGAAGCAACCTAGAACGCTCCAACGACAACCCTGGATTGACCCCACCTGAGACGCTTAAGTAAGGGCATGTTTCCCCGGGTCTGGTCACAAAAACTTCATCAACTTCACCTCACCCCCTCCAATCTCACCACCAACTCATAGACGTCGCCGCATCACTCTTTCATCAATACAACAGTCAATAATAGATATTACGGAGAGCGGGGTCGTTTGAGAAAATTTTGTCGCTACCGCTTTAGCACACCATGGACGAAATGGAGGATTTATCGGCATACGTGCAACAACTGGAGCTTTTCCGCCGCAATGATTACACCCGTGATCAGATGATCCAGGTGAGATTTTGAGATTTCTGGAGCCCCGACGATGGCAACGCCCGCGACTGTCTGATGATGGCATACGCCATAGCTATTGCCATCTTGCTTCGTTCAATTCACGAGCGGTTTACTGACAGGCATTGTCTAGGATCTACTTGCTCGCCACGGCCAGCTTCAGCAAGCTTACCGGGAAAAGTGCGATGACTACAATAATGAGCGCGAATCGCGCCGGATGTGGCAGACCAAGGCCAATAATCTGGGAAAGGACGTAGTGGCTCTTAACAAGGCAAATGTACGTCTGGTTCTCCCCTCGTTCGTGGCCCATTCAACCAACTCATCGACCAGCCCTCGGCGCTGAGCTCAAGCTGTCACGCCCGAGCCAAGCATGGGAAGGTGCTGACTTGTGAGACAGGAATCTAATCCATTCGTCTTTGTTATAATTGATGGTGACGGCGCCATCTTTCAGGAATCTTTATTGAAGAGGGGCGCAGAAGGAGGTGCCGAAGCCGGGTATCTTTTGTCGACAGAGATAAAGAATTACGTTACCGAGGCCTACCCTGAGGCTGCCAGCGAAGACTGGAACATAATCGTACAGGTGGTACTTAACATGGATGGCCTTGCAAAGAAGCTGCACGCATCCGGTATCATTCCCTTCACCACCTCAGAACGAACTCTCATCGATTTCGGACGCGGCTTTGGCCGCGCTCAGCCTCTATTCAGCTTCATCGACGTCGGCTCAGGCAAGGAGTCGGCCGACCACAAGATCCGCGAGATGCTCCGCGTCATGGTCCGCATCGGCCAGTGCAAGCATATCTTCTTCGGCCCCTGCCACGATAACGGATACCTCCCGGTCCTGGAGCCGTATAAGCTAGACGATAAGGTGGCTTCAAAGTTCACCCTCATCGAGACGACCCCCGCCGAGGAGGGCTTTAAACAGCTCAAGTTCCACAGAATTATCTTTAACTCTGTCTTTATGTCGGAAAAGCTTCCCGAAAGAGTCCAGCGACAGACTATGGGCATGCCGAGTATGCTTCCTCCTCCCGTCTCCTCCGCACCGACCGCCACCATCTCCGCCGCCGCTAGACCGCCCACCGGCCCGTACCACACCAACTCCAACTCCGCAAACAACGGCGCCCCCGTCGAGCCGCCTCGCGTTACCAGTCCGCTGTCCAGCGGCTCCCAGACGCCCGCGTCTAGTTGGTCTACGATGACGCGGGTCTCGACGGCCCCCAAGCCCATTGACATCTTTTCTACAAAAAAAGCGCCGCAGCCGAAATACTACCTCATGAACGCCGACAGCCAGCGCATCGACGAGCCGCTGCCAAAGGTCGACCCTATGGTAGAGAAGAGATTCAACGCGCGCATGACGGAGACGGGCAAGAAGTTCTGCAACAACTACCACCTACACGGCGAGTGTAAGAATCCAGTCTGTTCCTACATCCACGGCGATAAGCTTAGCGCCAGCGAAATGGTACTATTGAAGCAAAAGGTGAGTTTCATTCGTTCGCTTCGTGATTTCATGGGGTAGTCTTTCTTCATTTTCGGGCATTAGGCTAATTTGTGACAAAAGTCTCGCGGTATCCCCTGTAGCTTGGGTTCCGAATGCGACGACGTAAACTGCACACTCGGCCATCACTGCAGGTGGCTCAAGGACTGCAACCACAGCTACTGCCGCTTCCAGGGCTACCACGACATCAGCCCCAAACCGAGAGTCAAGTGCTTCGAGGATGGCAGTATGAAGATTATCGATAAGCTCTAAGATTATTTACCGCTCATCCATCATTCAACTAAAGAAGAAAAGAGAAAAGAAAAATGGCCAAGACGGGCATAATAATCACTGCGGGTTGAAGCTCAAGAACCGGGAGGTCGGATCTTGGTGCTTTGGGGCATAAAAGATTGATGTCAGACGCAGGGAAGATTGTGCCCGTCAATTGAGGATATCACGATCTGGCACCATGAAAATCATATAAAGGCAGTGGGGATGTGAGGATGGCCTTGCTTTTTGTTCACGTCAAGCAGCACCCACCGGCGTAGAAAACCATTAAAGGTTCAGAGAACTAACATTTGAAGACTCAGGACTGTGGACATGCATCGTCCTCGTGGCCTTTTACTTCTTCACTGCAGTGCCTCAGAATCATCTACCTCCCACGCGCAATAGAAAACCAGGAAAGGAAAGGAGAAACTGTATGGGTAACAACTGACCCTGCAACCAACGCCCCCTGTGCGCCGACTAAAAGCGCGCCGGACTCTGATTTCAATGAGGTCCGAAGCCCACTGCAGAGAACCAGTACACACACACACGGCGCCCAATCTTGAAAGAAACTGCAGGCAGCAAGAGACTCGTCCAAATTGTTGCCTAATATGCAACGCCCGTGTTTAAATCGAATGCTCATGCCCAATGTGCGGCCTTGTACCACAAAAAGCCCCTCTTTCCAAGTTCGAGGCTGATTCGTTGAGAGCGGTGTCTTGGAGGAGAACATTGCGTATACATGGTAGGTGGGCTTCTGCAGCTTACACCTTAGCCCTTGACGCGCGCGCGTCAGCAAACATCATGCATGACAAGTACCTGCGCTACCCTAGAGGGGTACTTTGTTAATGGATGTAACCGTATCCCATTGTTCTTCGATTGTTGTCGCCTACGAAGCACAAGAGCGCGGTTTAATGACTGCTGGCAGAAATCATCCAAGAAGCCAAGTCTTTGCGTGAATTCACGCATCAATAATGATTATATCGGAAATTCAAAAGTGAGTAGCAGGCGTCAGTTGTCGATTTGGATTTAATCCCCTTGAAATACTTCCATGGCAAAGCCATACTTTCGCATATCGAGCCGAATTCCTTTGTTGACTGGGACGATGGCTTTCGCTCAGCGCATTTTCTGGTAGATAAATTGATTCTCTCAAAAATGTCGCCATCGGCGTTTCAAGGCCATCTCCAGGCGCCTGCTGATGCTTCATGTTGGCATGGACTTTTGCACAATTTTCCCGGCGTTTTTGGAAACTCGAAGACAATCAGACGACTAAACAAGGCTTCGAAAAGTTGACACATTCTTATACCGAGTCTGTGTGATGATTGAATCACTTGGTTGTGATGCGCTATGAAGACGCGTGCTAGATTCTGTTCCAACAGCTCTAGCCTTTGTGCTCCATGCCCGACTATTTCGAAGGGACAAAATCGGATCAGGTCCATGTTTGGCTCAGGAATAGAGACTCGTTCCATGTGAGATTTAGTCAAGCAACTGACAGATTCTGCTCTCATTTTCAAGCATTTGATTAGTGAGATTAGTCTGACGTAGCAAGCTAGAGTCATGCACAGAAGCTCGGTGGAGGCTCATTAATTTCGCCCAAGCAAGGTGAATTAGTCCATATTGTGGAGCGAGCACACTTGCCATCGCCCGATGAATGGGACGGACTTAGTCTCTCCCGTGCCCTGAGACCTAGGTAGACTTTCGAAGTCTTCCGGGCCGGTAAGGACCCATATCGGAGCCTCCGCTATGACGCCAGACGTCGGAAGCGCACCTTCTACCCGGTGGGGTCATCGCGGAGATAACGCGCACTTCCCATTGGATATCGGAACAGCACCTGGGGAACGGCAAGATCTCTTGGACATTGGATGCCGCTGTAGAACTGGAGATGCTGCCATCAGACCATGAACATGATTCAGCGACTCCATTATTTCCTTCAGAGCCTGGAATTCGGATTCGGAATGTGAGATGGGATGTCTCAGACGTCATGTTGGCCGGAGTTCTCGGGATAAGCGAGTGTCGCCTCGCAGTGAGTTACCATTGTGTGAGTCTTCAAGAGGTAAGGAATGAGAGATTCGATTCCGTATAAGTACCGGTCGACGATGCTCCTATCGAAGAGCTTCTATTCCTGGCTCATCAGAATACAAGAACCACCTCCAGACATCTCTTATATAAGAAGTTGATTACCCTCAACCTCTAAATTGCATCACACTTCACCCAACACCACCACCACTACCACGAACCATCAAAATGCTCGGCAAGATCGCCCTTGAAGAAGCCTACGAAATGACAGGCATGGAAGCCAAATCAGAGTACGAAGCCTCCCTCTACATCAACCCCTCCGACCGCGCCCGCTACATGCGCCAAATCAGCGACCTCAACTCGGAGCGCGTCAAGCTCGCCGACGCCCACGGCATCGGCTACACCATCGTCTCCCTCACCGTCCCCGGCATCCAAGGCATCGCCGACCAAGCCGCCGCCGAACGCCGCGCCACCGAAGTAAACAACTGGGCCCACGGTCAAATCAAGCACAACCCCTCCAAGCTCGGCGCCTTCGCCTGCCTCTCGATGCACGACCCCGTCCAAGCAGGCCGCGAACTCCGCCGCTGCGTGACCGACCTCGGCTTCCACGGCGCCCTGCTCTGCGACTTCCAGCACGCCGGCCCCAACGGCGAGACGTACAAATTTTACGACCAGCCCGAGTACGACGCCTTCTGGGAGGTCGTCTGCGCGCTCGACGTGCCCGTGTACATCCACCCGGCCGCCCCCGCCGACGTCGTCCTCGAGAAGCTCTACGCGCAGCGAAAGTACCTCATCGGCCCGCCCCTGTCCTTCGCCAACGGCGTGAATCTCCACCTCATGGGACTCATCTCCAACGGCGTCTTTGACCGCTTCCCGAAGCTGCAGATTATCGTCGGCCACCTGGGCGAGCACCTCCCCATCGACCTGTGGCGCATCAACCACTGGTTCGAGGACGTGAAGAAGCCAATCGCCGCGGCGGAGGGCAACGCGGACCGCATGTGTAAGAGGACCGTGTACGACTACTTTAGGGAGAATATCTACGTCACCACGTCGGGCAACTTTTCCACGCGCGCGCTGAAGTATGTGGTGGACGAGATTGGGGCCGACCGCGTGCTGTTCTCGGTGGATTACCCGTACGAGACAATTGAGATGTGCTCTGCTTGGTGGGACGGCCAGGCCGAGGAGGTGAAGGAGGCGGTGGGCGGCGTTGAGAATTATCGCAAGATTGGGCGTGATAATGCGAAGAAGCTGCTCAAGCTGGGCGAGTTCCATGACTCTGAGGCGCCTGTGTCTTGAGAGGGGATTCTGTTTGTATCATATTAGTAGCTTGAATAGCCCACACTGAATATTTGGTTTATTCCACTCTGAGAACTCAGCTTTCCCGTTGGCTTCCATGTCTGCCCTACCAAGATGAGCGCTGAGGCGAGGAATCTCAATCGCTCTCCAGCGGTTTCCGGTCGAATATGTCCATCAATTTGGAACTGGAACTCTTCCATGCTTGGTAGGGACACATGACCTGAGTGGACTCGTCTTGGGGAGTACGATGAGGTCGATGTGTATAGCACGTTTACGGCGAGTGAGGTGGCTAAGTTGGGGGTTACCCCTTGCGAAGAGGAGGCTGCTCTGTTAGGATTCGGTAAGGAAGAGGGTATCGTGACTTTGGCGGGAGAGACTTCGGAGGATGCTCGTGGCGAAAAAAGACGATGGTGGAATCTGAGACGCCACTGAGCAGACAATGGATCTGTAATTCATCGACGCGGTCTCTCGACTTTGTACGCGGAGGCATCATCTCAAAGTTAGCTACTTGATGGCTGAATAAATATTTCCTGGCAATTTGCAATCTTCAAGGCCACGAAGCAAGACTATTGTCGAAAGAGGTCCGGATTGGCCGTTAGCAATAGCCAGAGAGTCACGAAGGTCAGAGGAGAGGGTGATGAAGTAATGACAACAATTAACTCGAAAATCCCCTCCGTCCCTCCAAGCAGCATATAAATACATCAATTAGTCTACCCCTCAATCATCGCACTTCGTTCAGTTCCGTTGACCAATCCCAAGCGTCCCTTCTCAGACCTTTCGAGGACGCAGAGCCACCGAGAATCGGTGTCCTAAATCGATTGGTGCGTTCTCGGGACCTTCAGACAGGAGCTCAGTGAGATTGCCCACGGACCGGCGCTTCTCAATCTGATCGGCAGAAGAGCGCTTCGTAAATTCGGCCTCAGACCGACGCTTGACGAGATGGCTCGCGGAAAAACGCTTTTTGGTCTTGTCCAAGGCCTGACCTGAACCGCCACTCTTGGAACGTTCATGACCTTGCGACTTCTGGGCTGTAGCACTTGGTACACGCTCCTGCACTTCGGACAGAGGGTTGTGTGTTCTCTGGCAAGATTGCTGGCGCGAGCGCTCGTCGATGCCCGTGGCGACGTTCTCTTTGTCGCTGAAAGGGGTTTCACGGCCCGTCGCCGGTTCGTTGGGATAGACTCTGGTGGGAGTTCGGGTGCCCGACGTTCGCTCGGGAGTCTGGCGCTGCCGCTTTCCTTCCTTTTTGCCGCGCAAAGCCAAACTTGGATTGCGTACAAGGTTCTTGGTCTGGTTCTTTGCATTGCTCAATGAACGAGTAACATTCCGGCCCACGGTCTTCATACCTGAGATGATCGAGGGTCTTCTCAGAGGAGGCGCCTTAACGTCGGGTCCTCCTACGATGCTGGGGAGCTGTTGACGAGATGCCGCTGTAGATGAATAGGAGCCTTGAAATTGAGGTGAAGAAACAACGGCAGATGGCTCGAAGTCTTGAGGATGAGATGAAGAAGCGACGGTAGACGGATCGAAGTCTTGAGGACGAGATGAAGAAGCGACAGTAGACGGATCGAAGTCTTGATGATGAAATGAAGAAGCGACGGTAGGGGGATCGAAGCCTTGAGGGTCAGAAGAAGGAATGCTGACTTTCTAAGCCTGCATAGCCTCCCGAGCCTCCTGAATTTCCCGCGCCTCCCGAGCCTCATGTTCCCGGACAGCCTCTTCTTTTCCTGGCACGGGATCTGAAACAATTTCCCCATCGTCATCGTAGTACCAATCGGGGGCATAGATAATGGGGTCAGCCCTGCCGGACAAGGCCTGCATGCGGAAAACGTCAAATTGCAATTGCAGAATGTCGAAATCGGGGGCTTTGGCGTCTGCTGTATCGAAGATGTCGATGATCTGGCCGTCGTCAACGGGCCGGGCATCCTTGCGATGAACAACGTAGTCTTCGTCCCACGGGCTCCAAGTCCGCCGTAACTCAGTCATGTTCGTTGGGAGATTGTCCGGCGTCAAGCACATCGTCTTTGGCAGCCAATTGAGTCGAACACGAATACCGATCGCCTCCCTTGCGCGCTCACCGTCCTCCTTCGTAGGCTTGATATCCTGCGGCAGCTCCACCTCCCTCTCCTTGCCCTTACCCTTGCCCTCGCTGGTTCTCTTGGACTTCTTGGAAGGCGTGATCTGTGAACTATCGCTGAGTCTCTTGGTACTAGATCTCGTAGACCTTGAGGAACCCGGCGCCCCACTCTCCTCATTGGGTCTCTCGCCAGCGACCTTTGAGGGAGTCGAGGGACCCGCAATGGCGGGTTCTTCCTTCTTGTCCTCTTCGTACAAGAGAGTGACGGGCTCTAAACCAAAAAGTCCATGGTCCCAAAACTTGTGAAGCATAGGGTGCAACGTGATCATATTTCGGGACGTATCGACAATGTTGGTCTTGGGGTTGACGAGCTTCTTGCGAAGCATTTGGATTCGTTCCCTTCCGAATACTGCGGATGCAGCGTCAAGTGCCTGGGAGCAGCGAGGCCTATTTAGAGTCCAGAACGGCAGGATGTGACACTTTTCACCGAGTAGGTGGCCCGTAAAGGCGCAAAGCCCGAAATCTCTCTGGGCAGTCTAGCGCGAATGAGTTAGTCGAGTGCAGATTCCCATCACAAACAAGCGACATACCGCAATTCGCTCAGCATTGCTTCGCGAAATAGTACCCGTCTTGACCCATTCTGCCGCCGGGCCTCGGACTGATTATGAAAATGTTAGCCTGTAGGTACAAAATACGACGAAAAAGGTTGTTGTCATCCGCATTAAAGGAGCGTCTGCCAACTTGGATAGTTGAGATGACGGATAGTTGAGATGACGGATAGTTGAGATGACAGATATCTGACGATAGAAAAGAAAGACGATATAGAAATATACTCACATAGCAAGATAAGGGCATTCATTGCGGGGAATGAAACATTGAGAGTGTAGACCAGGTTGTCGTTGTTCTGTATCTCGGCCAAGAAGGTTCGGAGACGAGGCAAGGGCAGGACCATGAGGTGCGCCCACACCTCTTTTGTCTCAAGGATCTTGATCTTGTCCTCCTCCTCTTTGATGTCATCGTGGTTGAGTATTGTGTCTCGAATTTGCTGCACAAGCTCGAATCGCTCGGTGAGGTCCCCTTCCCCATTGTCGCCGAGCCAGCCGTTGTTGTCGCGCGAGGCCATGCTACGTCGAATGTTCGATGTGAAAGATTTTGCCCAACTTCTGCAATCTCTGTAGGTGGGCCTGAGCTCTGGGTCCTCTCGGTCAAAGCATGATCTCATGAGAGGCACCAGCTTCTGAAATTCCGCCTCCAAGTCGAGGTTGGGAATGCGGCCCGCCATGTTGGGATCGAGGTGGCAGGTGCGATTATTGTACCTGCTAGTGTTAGTTTCGGAGAAAGATCACGTGGCCGGGAATACATGTAGACTTACCTGACCAAAATCCCAACCTGGTGCTACAGACGAAAATGAAGTGCCACACGAAGTGGACTGTTCGGATGAAAACTCAGAAGTGAAGATGACAGAAATCTCGGCTGAAGTGGGAGGTATTGGTAGAATGATAATGGGATCTTGTGAGGAATTGAGAGGAGAATCAGAAAATCAGATTCCCTACCGAAATTTAGCTATTAATACCTTGGCTACTTGTTGCCTCTCCACATAAAATCAAAGGATGGAAGGCAGGCACCTTCCCCCGCGAGAATGCGTATCGGCTTTACTAGAGGTGTCTTCTAAGGCTCCATGCCAGGCAAGTCACCTGAACCGAGACCTTTAATAAACGATTATCCAAGGTACTTACTTACCCTAAGTTCATTGCCTTATCTTTTCTCTTCACAAATCACCCAAAGATCTTACCTGATCCGAAAAGACCTTTGGCAGATGAATCAAACTTCTTAGGATTTATTCATTAAAGAATGCACAGAGAGTTAGTCACAATGACAACAGAAATAGCACCAAGAGAAATAGTACTAAGAGAAATAATACCAAGAGAAATAGTACCAAGAGAAATAGTACCAAGAGAAATAGTACCAAGAGAAATAGTACCAAGAGAAACAACACCAAGAGAAATAGTACCAAGAGAAACAACACCAAGAGTGATGACATCAAGAGTGACAATGATAGTGAAAGCAGTAAGAGAACCTTCTATGGAATACCTTAGGTAAGTTGAGTGTCGCCCGTTTGCCTAGGTTCCTTAGGTAGGCAGATACATACCTATGCACACATCAAACCTGCAGAGGCCCCGTCCTTCTCCCGCCTTCCATCTCCTCCAGCACCACAGGGTACCTAGGTACCTTGCGTGGGTACGTTACCTACCTTGAGGTGCCTTAGGGCACCTACGGTAGGTACGTTCCCGACGTCTCAGCGCTACCCTAGGTACCCACTTTAGGCTTTCTAGACTCACCTCCGTTTGACGCGCATTAAGCATCGTGCCATCGACTCAACCACAACCTTATCATGCCCCCGACGTCGGTGTCGTTGCCGCCACGTAAACGGCGCAAAACGCAGCTTGCCTGCAACCCATGCCGCGCTCGTAAGTCTGGATGCGATGGAGCGCGTCCGGTGTGTTCTTCTTGTACATCCAAAGGTTGGCCGCAACGGTGCACATATCAAGAGTCCGTCTTGCATGCGTCATCAACACCGTACGTGCCGTGAACTTTCCGATCCTTCACCTCTAGCCAAAGAACAGAGATTGTCTTGCTGTCAATTGAAATTGGCTGATCAATCTTGGCAGATCAATTTCCCAACTGTCAAAGAGGCTGGAGCGTCTGGAAGAGCTACCCGCAGCTCAAGCTCGTAACGGACTGCCGCATCCGCCGCATCCCGATTCCGACCCAGAAAGAGACGTTTCTGGAGGAGCTCATAATGTCTTTCCCCTGACTACCAACGGATCAACCACTCCTATTGCCACCATCACTCCCCGGCCGCCCGCTCAACTCTCAGCGACAAACGCCGTACAATCTGCTTCACCATTGTCTCGCAACGAAGCCGATGGCGATGCCATGTACGGTCCTTCATCCAACAGCTCATTTCTACGACTGATGACCGAAGCTGCGGGCCCCAGAAGCTCAAACACAAAGAGTCCAGAGGAGCTGGCTGGCCAGGATGCAGGAGAAGTCGCCCCTACAGTACTTGGGTTCGCGATAACAACGCAGCCAAAGAGTCCTGATATCCTACCGGACCCTGTAATGCTTCCCGAGAGGTGGCTCGCCGATAATCTCTTCCGCTGCTTTTGGGATTTTGTCCACCCCGTGTTTCCCATACTCCACCGGCCGTCGTTCACCGCGTCGTACGAAGCGGTTTGGCAGCCATCTCAAGGCCGACCTCCCAATCGAGACTACAAGGACACTGTTTTCCATGCCACCTTGAGCATCGTGCTGGCTCTTGGGTGTCAGCGGACAGATCAGGTCTCGGTAACGGAGCAAGTTCGCCTAGCCAATAGGTTCTATAAGCAGTCTTTTAAGCTCGTGTCAGTCGATACGCTCGATCACTCCTCTCTGCAACTCGTCCAGCTATTGCTACTGAGGGGCGTTTACCTACACTACACGCAATACGCAGACCGATGTTGGAACACAACCGGAGTCGCACTGCGAGTTGCGCAGGGTCTCGGATTGCACTCCCGCGGTGATGGACCAACGTCCTCAAAGAGTCAGCTCAAGAGGGAGATGAGGCGACGTGTCTGGCACTGTTGCTTAACTTTAGACAGGTAGGCAGAAGATTCTCCACCAGCACCCGTGGCACCCGTGTCGCTGCCTTCGCTTGCTCGGATCCAGATGATTGCCACCCAGCTAACGTCAACGCTTCCAAGACTCACGGCAACCACCTTTGGGAGACCTGTCCTTGTGTCTCGGCAGTACTTCGTCCCTCCGCCGGAACCTATCGACGATGAGTATTTGTCTGAGAGTTCCGAAGGCCTACAACCGTCGGATCGCCCTTCGTACCTGGCCTTCTTTGTACACTCCGTTGCGCTGTTTGATGTGCTGAATGAGATACTAGCCAAATTCTACACCGAAGGCGAATCTGTCTCGGACAAGACACCCGATTCACTCAGTCATGTCCTGCAGCTCTCGTCAAAGCTCGACGTGTTGGGCCATTCAATCCCGCCCTACCTCAGAGAAGGCGCGGATTTGACACGGCTAGACGAAGAGTTGCGAGGGTGTCTGCAGATGCAGGCAAACATCCTCAAGTCGAGGTAAGGCGGCTTTCTCCCAAGCCTCTTCCTTCATTATTCTCTTAGAGAAAGTCTGACTTATCGCTCTGTCACCCAGAGTCTTATGGATTCGGCTTCTCCTCCTTCGTCCGCTCCTCTTGGCCGAAGCTAAGCACGGTAGTCGGCCCCAGAAATCATTCGCAACGGCCGCCACGCATACACTTCGAGACAGTCTAGGACACTCGGCGAACTTACTCTGCGTTTCGACGGCTCACAGCGTACTACAGGAGCTTTACGAAAAGCTGGGCAGCGTCAGGCAGAACTCGGCCTGGCATGTTCTACTCTGTACGCAAAGTTTTCCTTTTCGTCCCCTTCTGCCTGCTTGCCTCTTGCGTATTGCCCTTCTAGTCTTCAGTTCAGGTTTGGCGATTCAAGCTAAATCTTTGTTTGCTCTCTCATCACAGTTACCTTTGCCGCAGCTTCCACTCTGGTAGTCGCGACCCTGTGCCCCGATCTCCACGTCAGCTTCGAAACAGAGCCGACAAAATCCTCGTGGGACAGAGCTTTGCGCATCTTTGATTTTCACAAGCAGCACGTCGCGTCTGCCAGCCGAGGCATCGAAGTCTTGGAAAGATTTCGCGCATCTGTCATGGCTGCCGCTTCGCAGCGAGACGCTCCCAGCGGGGCCCCCGCCACCAATGGTAAGAGAAGAATACACGTGGAGAGCACGAAAGGGGGTTTACTTTTCCTATTGATGAATGGGAATTAGTAGACTCAACAGAAGAGAAGCTAACCATTCTTTTGGCGCTCTTACATAGCAGAAACATACAATGCGCGACTTGAGCAACCAAGCGAGCAGGACGTCTTGATCCCGTTTGGCTCTGTGCCTGGTTTGAATCAGACGACCCTGGCGCAGGACTTTGGGGATTTCACAGGCTCTGATTTGCTCAATGAAAGCTGGTTCAATATTCAGGGGATAGATCTAACCAACTGGGGAATCTTTCAATGAACGCAGCGATCATGAATGACAAGGGCACTAATCTATTCCAATAAGCCAACCCCGTCATCCACCTCCTGTATCTTATAGTGTACGACATTACTACATAAGATGACGGTCCTCTTTTGGCTGAAAAAATATAGACCCAAGATAACTGAGCTACCTTCAACAGAAAACAAGCCATTCACTCCCCAAAACAGAACAAACGAAATCACAAACCCAATGAAAAACGCAACATAGTACAGCTCGTACACCGCGTCCGGCGCACCGCCCACACCCCCCGCACTCACAATCAACCCGCCCACCGTCGGCGCCCAACCCGCAACCCAGCACGGGATCACCCTCCAGTTGATGCCGTGCTGGTACCAATAATCGGACCCCTCCGGGTTGAACAGGTGCGTCAGCCGGACACGCCGACGGCGCAGGACGAAATAGTCGCAGACCATGACGCCCATGATGGGCGCGAGGAAGACGGCAAACGAGTTGAGGACGGCGACGAAGGTGGCGGCCTGGTTGATGAGCTGCCAGGGTTGGATGATCCAGGCGGCGGCAAAGGTGAGGAGGGCACCGCGGCGGATGTCGAGGTAGCGCGGGAAGAGGCCGGCGAGGTCGATGCCGCCCGCCACGACGTTGGAGCAGACGTTTTCGAACATGGAGGTGAAGGCGAAGGCGAGGGCGAGGAAGAAGACTGCGGCGCGGGAGCCGGGGGAGCCTTGGCCGTCTGTGGGCAATCATGTCATTGGATATTCTTCAAGGTGGTTCACGAGATACAAGAAGAGGAAGAAAAAGGAAAGGGGCGACAAGTAATTGGTAAGAGAGAAAGACTCACGGTCCATCATAACCATCAACAAATCAGGCGGGTTCCAATAAATCTGCCCGTAGATCTTCTGACACGCCGCGGTAGTTACCAGCCCGCCCAGGCACACAAGCACACCAGTAACCCAGTACACCGACACCGTACCAACAATATAATCCCTCTTATTCTTCGCGTACCGCGAAAAGTCACTACTATTCGTCATGCCTGCCGCTTTCCCGCCGATAGCCTGGTTAATACCCGCCATTATCAGCCACGAGACGTTCCACCGGGACGAGGAGGGTACTTTCTCGCCCTGGTAGAAGACGGGGCCAACGCCGCGAGCGACAACTACGGACCAGGCGAGTAAGGCGACCATGGCGGCGCCGCAGGCGACGGAGGAGACGAAGAACGGCTTTTTGAAGCGCTCGGGGCGGATGAAGAGGAAGGGAAGGGAAACTATCCAGAAGACTGTGAAGCCTAGGAGTTCGTAGGTTGTTGTTGGGGTGGTTTTGCTGAGATTGTTGGGAATCTTTGCAAAGGAGGGCCAGATTGCGGTTATGCAGACGCTGCGAGAGGTGTACTGTCAGTGTTTGAGACTTCGTTCAAGGAGGGAATGCTAATCATACGTTACTAGTTTACCTCCATTCCAACCTGTTCAAACCCGGATCAGCCATCTTGTCGTATGTAAAAGGGGGATGGCGTCTTGGACAGACTAGAGACACGCTTACACTGGAGAGCGGTCCAGATAAAGTTGAGGAGAATGCGCTGCAGCAGCGGTATGAAACTCGCTCGGAAGCCCCATGTATATCTATTCTGGACGGTGAAGCCGATGTGCCAGGTCAGACCGCACCAAGCCACGAGGATGGCGAAGAAGCAGCAGATGGCGCGGGAGACAACAATCACAGCCATCGCCTGGCCCACGGAGAGTCCCTGGGTGAGGAACGTGTTTGGAGTCTGCCATGTTGCGACGTTGAGAGACGATCTGTTGGAAAGGGGAAAGGTTCAGCACTTAAGCATAGGTTGACTTGTCTCTTTCAAAGTATGAAGAAAATCAAACTCACAAAGACCAGGAGCCGAAAAAGTTGAACCAGCCCCAGGTGCGGCGGGAGGGCGGCAAGGGGATGAGATCGCGGTTCGACCAGGCGCTGACTTCTTCGTGGCGGGACTTGTCCGACTTGAGGGTCAGGGCTTCTTTAATTCTGCGCACCATCTTGTTTGCCATCGTTGCCGTGACAGATTAGGCGCTGCAAGCTCTTACGTTTGTATTTCCGTTTGCACCGTTCGGGAACGCTTCGTTTCGAGCCCGTGGAAGGGCGTGTACTAACGGATATATAGGACCGTCTTATCTCGAGATCCTCGCATCACTCACATTCTCTCTCATGGTTCTGGATTTTTGTAGGAGAGCGAAGCATAGGTTGTCGGGAGATATGCGCTGCTAATCGCGACCTTGTATGACCTGCATGCCGGGCAATGTTCGGAGGCAGTTTTCCGGGGCAAGTCTGCATTTGCCCCCATTTCCGTGCCCTCTTTATTTCTGAAAAGAGGACATACGTCGGCAACTTTACGAGCGTCGGACGACGTGCCCGCGAGCTTGTCAGCTCTCAAAGCGGCCTTGATGTAACCCCCCCCCCCCCCCCCCCCTTCCCGGCCTACCTGGTCCTCGATGCCGATGATAAGGATGCGGAGCAGTGGGGCGTTGCCCGCTGGTGACATGCTGGGTGATAAGAAATGGTGGTCGATCGTCTCGGACTCACTCGTCTGCCAGTATTCCAATCCAATAACAGCGTTGAACTCAAGGGTGGAAATGTTCAATTGTCTACCTTAACTAGCTTCCCTTACCTAGTAGTCCTTCACATTGGTACCTGATAGGATTGATGCCATAAGGTGAGGTTGGTGAAGTGGGGTCCACTATCTCGGAATCCGGGGTTGAAACATCGGTCTCTACCCCGATGCCGGCACCGCGTCGGAGAAGGTGCGATACTTCAGTTGTATGTCTTGCATCTCACCTGCTATCATTATCGCAAATACCCTCACTACAGGACCTCGTACCACCCTCCCTATAGACAGTTCTCTTTGCATGCAATGCAAATTATCTGAACCTCCAAGCATTAGGGAAGCAAGTCCAACATCACCAGCTCATCCACAAAAATGACAGTCCCTACCTTGAGGATAGGCGTCGACGTCGGCGGGTGAGTAACGCCCCTTCCACCTCGCCTCACCTCACCTCTGCGTTGACAAACTTCACATCACCAACCCCAAACTCCCACCTCCAAACCATCAACTCACTTCTAACAAAAACAAACAGAACAAACACAGATGGCGTCATCCTCGATCCAACCTCCTCCTCCCCTTGCCTCGGCATCCTCGCCACCCAAAAGACCCCAACAACACCCAACCCAAGCACCGGCATCACAACCGCAATCTCGCACATGTTCTCAACCTCCAGTATCCCCCCCTCCCGCATCGCAAGCGTCACAATCGGCACAACGCACTTTATCAACGCCGTAGTAGAACAAGACGCCTCTCGCCTCGCCCCCGTCGCCGTCATCCGCCTCTGCGGTCCCTTCTCCGCAACCATCCCCGCCGGCGTCGACTGGCCTCCCGCCTTGCGCAACATCATCTGCGCCCACCGCTCTCTGGTGGACGGCGGGCTGGAGATTGACGGTGACTTGATTGCGGAGCTCGATGAAGATGCCGTGCGGCGCGAGGTGAAGGTTATCCGCGCCAAGGGAATTGGGAGTGTTGTCGTTGTGGGAGTCTTCAGTCCCATTGACGTCGTGTACAGACAAGAAGAGAGGGCGGCGGAGATTATTCGTGATGTTTATCCCGGAGCTGATGTGGTGATGTCAAAGGATGTGGCGAATATCGGGTTCCTTGAGCGTGAGGACGCGGCTATTCTCAATGCTTCCATCCTTCCATTTGCTAGACGAACCATCCGCTCCTTCCAGGATGCCGTTACGCAGCTAGGCCTCACCTGCCCCGTCTTCGTGACGCAGAACGACGGGACCATCCTGCCGGCTGCGGCGGCGGCGTGGTTGCCCATCAGGACATTCTCCAGCGGACCGACGAATAGCATGCGCGGTGCGGCGTTCCTCACGAGGAATTTGGAGGGAGAGAAGGAGGGGGCGGGCCCGATGATGGTTGTCGATATCGGCGGGACAACGACGGACGTGGGTTTGTTACTGGCCAACGGGTTCCCCAGGCAGGCGGCAGCCTACAGCGAGATCGCGGGGGTGCGGACGAACTTCTCGTACCCGGACGTCAAGAGCATCGGTCTCGGCGGCGGATCTATCGTCAAGAAAGACGAGCGCACTGGCGAGATGATGATCGGGCCACAGAGCGTGGGATATCAAATCCAAACAAAGGCTCTCGTTTTTGGCGGCGATGTTGCGACGGCTACGGATTATACTGTACTCGCAGATCCAGACACCGTTGATATCGGAGACCGGTCTCTCGTTGAAGGTGTGAACGGCCTCGCTGATGACTTATCGGCGTTCGAGGCCAAGGTGAAGACGATGCTGGAGCGGAGCGTGGACACGATGAAGACCTCGCCCGAGGACATACCCGTCGTTCTCGTCGGCGGGGGTGCGGTTATTGCGCCGGATGAGTTGAAGGGAGCGAGTAGGGTTATAAAACCTGCGTGGTCTGAGGTTGCGAATGCAATTGGGGCTGCGACGGCAAGGGTTAGTGGTGTCGTGGACGCAATTGAGAGTACTGAGATGAAGACTGTGTCTGAAGTTGTGGAGGCGTTGTCGCGGAGGGCTGTTGATCGGGCTGTTGAGAATGGTGCTTTGAGGGAGAGTGTGACTATTGCCGAGGTGGAAAGTTTTCCGTTGCAGATATGTTTCTGTGACATGACGAGTATGATGATGAAAGCTGACAGGATGTTTTATTGGCAGTATATTGCAAACAAGTCGCGAATCAACATCAAAGCCGTAGGAGATTTCGACTTTTCCAGAACAGCGTCCCTGGACACAACCACGATCCCAGACGACATCGAGAACTACGACGAAGAAATACCTAGACCACCGGCACCGCCTCGAAGCGAGGAAATCCCATCACCGCAACCCTTGGTCTACACAAAAGACTACATTGAAGGCTACAAGCCAAGGGTCCTCAACCGCCAATGGCATCTCTCCGAAACAGACCTCGACTGGATCACGACAGGCTGCTACATCCTCGGCACAGGAGGCGGCGGCTCCCCCTACCAGCACATGCTCCGCCTCCGCGAAATGATGCGCGCAGGCGCCACCGTCAAGATCATCTCCCCCTATGACCTCAAGGACGACGATATTGTGGCCTGTGGCGGCGGAAAGGGGTCGCCGCAGGTATCCATTGAGAAGCCGTATGGGGATGAGTGGGTCTCCCTCATCTGCACGATCTTCCATTGAAGATGGAATACTTCGAATTCTAATGCTCATGTTTTGTAGAATCATGGAGTCGCAGAGAGAACTCTACTCATACCTCAAAACCAAGCCTACGGCCGTGATATCCCTCGAGATTGGAGGTGGCAACGGCTTGCAGGGCCTCATCCTCGGCGCCAGTACAAACCTCGATATCCCGACAGTGGACGGCGACTGGATGGGTCGCGCGTATCCCATCTCCCACCAAACTACGCCAGTAGTCTTCGAAAAGAAACCGACGATGATTCCGTCGTGTATATCAGACGGGAACGGCAGAATCATGGTACAGTCTCTTTTTTTCTCGTCCCCCATTCTGCCGAACATCCTTCGCGTTTTCTCACAAGTCCACGTGTGATGAAGACGACACCCTTTACTGACCTGTGGATGACAAACAATAGCTCATGACAAAAGCCCGCACAGAACTCGACGCAGAACGCGCCTGCCGCGCCGCCCTCTCGCAAATGGGCTCTCACGTAGGCTGCGCAAAGGGCCCCGTCAGCGGCCGCGATACCAAGTCCTGGGTCGTCGAGAACACCGTCTCGCTCTCCTGGCGGATTGGTCGCGCCGTAGCGATGGCGCGGTGTACGAATGCCATCGACACAGTCGCCGAGGCCGTTTTGGACGTGGTTGGCGGGCAGGAGTCGGCGAGGGTGCTGTTTAGGGGCAAGATTGTAGGCGTCGAGAGGATTACAAGGATGGGGCACGCCTATGGGGAGATTATCATTGAGGGGCATACTGACGGCAGGAACGATGGTGATGGGGCGGTTGAGAGGTTTGTTATACCGTTTAAGAATGAGAATATTCTTGCGAAGAAAGTCGATGCCAGTGGGAAGGAAGATGTGAGTCCCGATAACTCCCCATTCCTATCACGAGAGGAAAGTGAAGAGTACGAAACTGACACATCTAGCACTCAAACAGATCCTCGCAATCGTCCCAGATCTAGTCTGCGTCCTCGACGCGCAGAACGGCGAGGCCCTCGGCACGCAAGAGTACCGCTACGGTCTCCTTGTGGTGGTGCTCGGCATCACGGCGTCGGACAAGTGGACTTCCACGGCGCGGGGCATCGAGATTGGCGGACCCAAGGGGTTCGGAATGGACGGGCTGGAATATGTGCCTCTTGGGACGTTTACGAAGCCTCGGAGCGTCATTGATGAGAATGAGGGCTATTCATGATTGGTCAAGAACTCAGGGGGTCTTGATGTTGCGAGCGATCGAGTATCGTGCTTGTACGATGCGGCTTATGAAGATGGGTTCATTATGGGTCGAGCTATGTCCTCCTCATCTCCGGTTTCGGGTGGATATGAGGTTGATTCTTGGATAAACGTAAGTCGAGAGGTTGTGGCATGTACACTGCCGGAAGCTATGTTTATAATAGTGCTCCTTGGCATTCATATATAACCGCTTAGCAGTAGGATGAATAGACTTCTAGACAAAGCCTCAATGATCATCAATGCTTACATGGCTTGCCGTCCTTAAGAGCGAATTGGACTCATTAACCGCACTTCCAACCTGTAAATCTCCCAGAATATGCGCGAACCCGCACGTGTGTCATCATGATGGGCAGAAGAATCGACAGGGATACGATCATCAAACCGTTGCATTTCGCGCCGGGGTGTGATAACGCAACTCGAACTAGGGGCCAGAGGAAGATGGTGTGTTGGGGTCGTCTCCAAGTCGTCGGAACTTTCAGCGCCGCACCGTCAAAGTTACCGAAACTCTACCAGGTTGGCGGAGGAGAGGAAGAGGGGTTAACTGAGAGCCAGTGAACCACGCCGCCGTTGTCGGTTCCTGCGGGAGCAGCCGGAAACCGAGGGTGTTGAGTCCTGACTCCTGATTGTCTAGGAAGTACTCGAGAGAAGAGACAATCACGCAATCGAGAGAGAAAATGTCGGTTAAAGAGGAGAGCAAGGGTATGACAGCGGAGAAGGAAAAGTTTGTTTTGGAGAACAGCTACACTGGAAAGACACAATGCGTCCCGGTTCCAAGCGGTCGGCAGTCAAAGGCCCGGAGGTTTTGGGGCGCGGGGTCCCACGTTGTCGTCCATGTTGATGGAAGTTGAACCCCCGATCGGCGGGCCCCACAGCAGGAGTGTCTCGCGTCATCGGACGGCCATTGCGATATGGGGGGGCCCAAGCACGCAATCTGTTGATGAGAGCTCGACACCATCAACCCGGCCAGATGGTTTTACGATTGTAGTAATTATTGATAGTGAGTGAGGTAAAGTAGCAGTGAGTGAGTACTGTATATAATGAGGGGTAGATCAGATAAAACCTCTCTCTCCCCGTTGCAGAACCTTTTGCCCCTTCTCCAATTTCAGTCTTTGTGATATAAGTCCGTCTCATCTGCCACTTCCCCTCATTTTGAGACCTCATTTCGATACCTCGCCTCAACACAGTTTCATTTCTCTCAATTGATACCCCCTAAATCTTCATCACAATGGCCCCAGGTGCTCTCATTGACGAGCCCGTCCAGCCCTCTCAGGGCCCCTGGAAGGGCAAGAACGACGATGCTCCCAGAAACATCTTCCCCGACGGCATCCGCACTTCAGGACAGCACAACCCCCTCTACGACGCTCTCAAGCCCTACGCCGAGTTCCCCAAGGAAATCTCAGGCCCCACGGTCTGGCACAAGGAGGAGTTTGAGCAGCAGCCTGAGAAGTGGACGCACCGCTTCACCCCAGAGGAGGTTGAGGAGCTCGGCCGCACCTCTGACGCCTTTATCGCCAACAACACCCCTCTGACGGGTATCTCCAAGGTACGTCTGACTTTATTCCTCGAAGGAGAGATGAAGAGATTCACTCGAACGACTTCAGCCCGTACCCAGATGACAGTGCACTAACACTACCACCAACAGTCCAACTTCCCCCTCCCAACACTAGGCAAGCGCCTCACCGACCTCCGCAAAGACCTCATCGACGGCAAAGGCTTCGTCCTCTTCAAGGGCTTCCCCGCCAACGAATGGGGCCCGCACAAGACCGCCGTCGGCTACATGGGCCTCGGCACCTACCTCGGCTACTTTGTCTCCCAAAACGGCCGCGGCCACGTCCTGGGCCACGTCAAGGACGTCGGCGACGACCCGACCCAGATCGATAAGGTCCGCATCTACCGCACCACCGCTCGCCAGTTCTTCCACGCCGACGACGGCGACCTGGTCGGCCTCCTCTGCGTCCAGCGCTCCGCCGAGGGCGGCGAGAGCGACCTCGTCAGCATCCACGCCGTCTGGAACGAGCTCCAGCGCTCCCACCCGGACGTCGCGGAGACCCTGACCAAGCCGATCTGGTACTTTGACCGCAAGGGCGAAGTCTCCGAGGGCCAGGAGGAGTGGACGCGCCAGCCGGTGTTCTACATCGAGAACGGAGGGCAGCGCCGCGTCTACTGCAAATGGGACCCCTACTACGTGCGCTCGCTGACGCGCTTCTCCGACAAGGGCGTGATCCCGCCGCTGAGCGAGGAGCAGCTGCACGCGCTCAAGACGCTCGAGGATACGTGCCAGAAGCTGGCGCTGCACATGATTCTCGAGGTGGGCGATATCCAGTTCCTGAGCAACGCGCACCTGCTCCACGCGCGGACGGCGTATACGGACCACCCCCACCCGGCGCCGCGCCGGCACTTGTTGCGCTTGTGGCTTTCGACGCCCGAGAGCGAGGGCGGATGGGTGCTGCCTTTCCCTGATAGTAAGGAGTTGAAGAGGGGTGGTATCCAGGTGAACAATGTGCCTCCGCGCGCGCCGTTGGATGCGGAGTAGAGTTTGTTCTGGTGAGGTTGGTTAGCATTTTTTGTGAAAATTGTATTTAGAGCGCTTGTGAGGATGAGAGAAAATATTTGGTGTAGCATCTGTGACGAGACAGATGGTCATGGAATGCTTCATGAGAGATTCGCGGAAAGCCTGGATAGAGATTCTCGGGAGACAGGACTCTGCCAACATGAATTAAAAAAAGTAAAATAGAGAAAAACAAAATGAGGTCACCATCATAAAGTCAGTCGTCTCCCATTGCAGTGATTGGAGTCGTGACCGCGCATACACACTCACTATGACTAGCGAGATTGAATATGCCGCATGTGAGAGACTGAGATGAGCAGTTTCCCGGAACGCCCAACCTATTCAGCGGGAAATGGTGTGATTGTTGTGCTGTGAGAGAGATTGTACGTGAGGAAATGAGAGATGAGCGACTGCGGTGCGTCCGGCGAAGTTTGGCGAAGTTTTCCGCGGAATGTGCGTTGCCCGAGTTTCCCGGCAGTTTTCCGCTCACTGATGGCGGGGTTCTTTCATGTCCTGTCACTCACTGCGACCTAAGAATGACCCCGCCGCGGGGCAATCGTCTTCATCGCAGGGGAGAGAGGTCCCCTAAACGCCACGGATGGAGGGGCAGCTTCCGTCTCACTCCTTTCTCACTGCTCATGCATAGCTTCCCGCGATGTGAGAAACTCATCGTGAGAGTGAGCCCGGCTTCAACTGAGCAAGTCATCGAAGCTTACACTCATTCATTTACCTCAAACAAGAATGATTTGATAACATTTGTCTCAATCGACCCAAGTACAACCAAATCAAGCGCAATCATCATCTCTTATCGCCAAATTGCCCCACGATCCCGTTGCAGATAGCAGGTGGTGCACCGTCCCCCTTATCCACCCGCCCGCGTTGCGCCCACCCGAGTCAAGCCCACCTCTTGGCCTCATCCCATCCGACGTCGCTCCTCGACACACTACACATGCAACGACTCTGTTATTAAAGACGAGCCCTGTCCTCGCGTTCCTTCACAATGTCTCTCTTGTATCGTATTCCTCGCTCGGTATTGCTTCTTTTCGCCACTTGATACCCCTTCCTTTCCAAGTAGACTTATTTGCATCACTCAACACCACATCAAAGAACCCAAGATGGCGGCAGTCCTCCCCGAGCCCTTTGCGAGCATCCCTCGCGAGAACTTCCTCTTTGGCCCCTCGCCCATCGAGCCCCTCCCCCGCATCTCCGCCGCCCTCGGCGGAAAGGTCAACGTCTACGCCAAGCGCGAGGACTGCAACTCTGGTCTGGCCTACGGCGGTAACAAGACCCGCAAGCTTGAGTGAGTCCTCCTCTCCCGCCTCCAGTTCATCATGGCACCCTGATGAAGGCATGATGAATCATACCAGAGGACCAAACTAACACACCCCAGATACCTCGCCTCAGACGCCCTCGCCCAAGGCTGCGACACCCTCGTCTCCATCGGCGGCGTTCAATCAAACCACACCCGCCAAGTCACCGCCGTCGCCGCAAAGCTCGGCCTCAAGGCCGCCCTCGTCCAGGAGAAGTGGGTAGACTGGACCGACCCCGTCTACGACAAGGTCGGCAACCTCCAGCTCTCGCGCCTCATGGGCGCCGACGTCCGCCTCGACCCCTCCACCTTTGGCATCGAGCACAAGAACACCCTCGCCAACCTGAAAGAAGAACTCCTCGCCGCCGGACGCAAGCCGTACTACATCCCCGCCGGCGCGTCAGACCACCCACTCGGCGGCCTGGGCTTCGCGCGCTGGGCTTTCGAGGTGCAGGCGCAGGAGAAGGAGTTGGGCGTGTTCTTCGATACGGTTATCGTGTGTGCGGTGACGGGCTCGACCATGGCTGGTATGGTTGCGGGATTCAAGCTTGCGGAGAAGTTGGGCGGCAAGAAGCGCAAGGTTATCGGTATTGATGCCTCTGCGACAGTGAAGCAGACGTTTGACCAGGTGCTGCGTATCGCCAAGAACACGGGGGCCAAGATTGGTCTCGAGGAGGGCGATATCACCGAGGCGGATATCATTCTGGATGACCGGTTCCACGGCGGTGTCTACGGTATTCCCGACCAGGTCACCATTGACGCCATCAAGTTTGGCGCCAGCACGGAGGGTTTCATCACGGACCCTGTGTACGAGGGTAAGAGTTTGGCGGGTATGATGCAGCTCATCAAGAATGAGGAGATTGCTGCGGGTAGCAATGTCTTGTACGCGCACTTGGGTGGCCAATTGGCGCTCAACGCGTACTCTGGCATGTAAACGGTTTTGATGTCTCATGATGAAGTTTTTAGAGTTTTACAGAAAATCACAATACCCTTTCATGTTCAACCTTGGCATCCATCGTGACTTTTGTTTTTGGCGTTTGATCGGAGATGGCAGCAAGGTTCTGAGAGACCAAGGTTCGTACAAGTCAGCTACCATGCCTTGATGGTCTAGCATCGACCTATTTCCGAGTAGAGGGCTAGACTGGTATAAAATGCCGGATGCCGCAACTGTCTCCTAGAGTAGAGCAGCGCAAATCGATCGGCAAAAAGAATTGTATGTGATCACCTGTTCCTCGCTTGCAATCTCGGGTTCGGGAGACAGGGGAGGGAGAGAATGTATTGTGAATGACAACTAACATTTTATTCTCCAGAAAACAACGTCCATTCATCATCGACTCTAGCTTTTCGAATATTCATTACAGAATAAAGAAAACTTCCGCAACAGCGAAGACCACCTGCCATCGAATACTTGTTCATCCTCATCCGCCGCTAATGTCCGTCGTCTGGGATATCGCCTTCCTCTGCAGCCTCGTCATCACCATCGAGATACTGCTCAACTCGCTCATAACGATCAAAACACTCTCTACAAAGAAGCGTGTCCACTATGTCGACGAGCAGTAGCCCTCTCGCTCTCGGTACCTCTGCTGATACTCCTGCGAATACCGCCACAAACGCGGACGCTCCTCCAGATCGAGAGCCTTCGCCCCTGTTCCTCAAGCTACTCGGGATCTACATCATGGCATCTAACCTCTGGATGGCCATCAAGGATTTCCTCTCAGATAGGAACATATGGAAGCGGCAACCCGTGGTAGAGAGACACCCCAATTACGAGAAACTTATGGATCTCGCTCAGCGACACGAGTATCTGCAGTGTCATAGACAGCGGAAGATTGCCAAGGAAAATCACCACGGCGATTACTTCCAGCATCGGGTGTTCACCCCTGAGGATGACAGGAAGATGTGGAAGACTCTCTTACTACCTACCATCGAGAGTAAAGAGGAGAAGGAGAAGAGGGAGAGGGAGGAGGAGTCAAAGTATCTTGTTGACTTGATTGTTCAGATGCCTGTCCTGGATAGACCTTGCACTGGGGATGAACGAGCCAAGGCTGATGAGCAAGTCGAGGCTGATGGACGGCCCGAGGTAAACGAGCAAGTCGAGGAAGACGAACAGGACAAGGAAGACGAGCAGGCCAAGCCCGATGAACTTGACCCACACGACTGGACAGTGGAGGGTGTACTTGCAACCGTCGATTATGAGGCATTGGGCTTGCAGTGAGAGGCGGTGGAGGGTTTCGGAGGCTCACATGCGACGCCATTATCCAAGACAGAAGAATAAGGTGGCCACATAATCTGTCTTCCTTAGTATCCAATACAACCCTTCCTCCTTCCAATTTACTACCACAGAGACGAATTGAAAGAGAAATTTGTATCTCCAGGAAAATATTTTGGATACAATGACTCCCAAACATCGTGATGAGAAAAAACATGCCAGGACTCAGGATGGTCAGAACGTCAACCTTAGCATCGAGAAGATATATACCAAGTCTGCTCAAAGCAATAATCAAGTGCATTGATGATTTACAATCACACCAAATACAAAGTTTATCCCAAGTCCCCATCGCACCTGCCTTTGTCTTACACCAGGTGAGAGAGAGGAGGGCAACTTCCGTCGACCATGCAATTGCCAACAAAGAGGGAAGACAGAGACAGGAAATTTCTCAACTTCACCTTCCCAAAATAATTCACCACCCGACGACTCTTCAGCCTCACCTTTTGGGCCCACCTTCTTTCACATCCTCCATCCCTCTCCCAAAAATTCCAACTTGCCGTCGCAACTTCTCCCGCCGCACCTTACCATTCACTTTCCCACCCAATACAACACCTTTTCCGCAAGCTTTGCTACCTTGATCGCCAAACACGGCAAATAGCGAGTTGATCATTTTTTCTCTACCAGCATCGTACAGCTATTGGGCCTGTCGACATTTTTGCTTTTTTGCTTTTTGGGATCACTGAACCCTTCCTGCAGCTTCTGCTCCTCCACAGAGGTGAAAGGAAGGTAACTGGAAGATGAACATGAATCCCGTCATCATCGAAGTAACGACAGCGCCCCCATTGGAGCTCGCAACGGATCCCACGATGGAGCTGGTCGAGTTCAAATGGGGCAGCAGCGGTGGCGGCAGCGTATCATCGTCGTCTTCTGCACCTAAGCCGAAGCGGTCTTGCCTCAAGAACAAGTCAACCGACCCGAATCACAAGTACCTTGGCAGTGATTCCCCTGGCTACTTCTGTTTGTTGCTTCCTATTCCTTAGTCGTCTTTCCCTGCTTTTGCTCTTCTGCACGCCTCATTCACTTTGTCCATCCTCCACTTGTTTCGCTGCATGAATCAAAAGGCTGTTGACTAATTGCGCTTTCCCTTTCACAGACAAAGGCTCCTGGCACGAAGAAATCGGCTTTGTGAAAAAGTTTTTTCGCAAATATCACCACAGGGGACAGATGACAGCATACAGAGACCGAGTTCATGCAGAGACTGTCGAGGCAGAGCTTGCCAGGAGCAACAGCAAAGACGCGGACGTCCCCGTGAGCAACTACACCATTACCAAGCCCACCGTTCGTTTCTCAGAGCCCTTGGAGATCACGTACTACTGCTACGAACCCGAAGAGGCCATGGTCGAGTATCCTGGCTACATGACGTCCAACAGGCGCGCGTGGGCCGAGGTCTCGTTTCAGCCGGGCCACCAGATCAAGCTGGATGGGGTCCGAATGTGGTATCACTTTCGTAAGCGGAAGAATGAAATGTTCTACTTCGGGGAGGGATAGCTTTGGAATAATTGCTCGGATTTGTTTCTCTGGTCAGCTTTTTGGGTGGAAGGCGTTTGGGCTACGACGGGATGTTGTTTTTTGGGCCAAGTGGTGTCTGTCTCCTCAGCGAGGAAACAGTCTTTGGGTTTTGGCGTGATACATACGCGGTGATACCCCTTTCAGATATGAAATGGCTGGTTGGAGAAGAAATTTCCAAGTCGCTTGCTTTGTGTGAAAAGTTCCATCTTCCCTAGTGTTCGAGGACTCAAGTCCTGCTGCTATGCTACATCGACCTCGCGTGAACCGAGCCGTCGTGACTGTGGAATGAGGTAGGCATGAAACCAAGGTACATCCCGATGATTCATGGAGATGCCAACGCCGAGAACCTAGAAGGAGAAGGCGCGTCCTGGTCTCGCATCTTTCACACCTGCCTCGAGACTGATGCCAGGCCTTCATATACCCCGTCAGGTCCATTCCTGTCACCAACGGCAGCAGGCGCCTCACAGGCCTGTGAGGTCAGGTCAAACTGCCGTTTGGCGGGATGGTTACGGGCGAGCCTGTTCAACTGGCTTAGCCTACGCTAGGATCTAGGTTCGAGTCCCAGCTTGAGCACCAGAGATGTAGCCCCCATTCGCCACCGGGGGGGTGAACTCTTTTGCTTTTTGGTTTTTTTGGCAATTTGATTACTTATATGAGGCGGGACGGCTAGCTATTCCGCGTGGAAATTAGACTTGTCTCCAGCCACGGAGCGGTCAGTGGTGTTGAGGACAACTTGGTGACCATTGCCAAGGCTGTGTGGCGTGTGGCTCTGAGGCTGTGCCGGTTCAGACCGATCGTGAACTTGTATGGTGTGGTGAGACAAAGTTCGTCATGTCTTCAATGCATCCGAGGTGGCGCACCCATTACGATTCTGGGGGAAATAGGCTCCTGTATGACAGATTACCCCATTCGGGGATACAGCCGCATTCCACGTATCACAAACGAGGCTTTCTCACGACGGTGGTCACGAGGCAGGACCTCAGCCTTTCTCATGTTTCATTCCCCAGGCGATCTCCTCTTCTCCGCACAAGGGGGTTCAGTGGCTCAAGAATCACGACATGTGATGATATGTTACACATCGTGATTCCGACTGTCATTGGGTCGTGCTGATGTTGCCTCGTTTGTAGCGCTCGCCCTGTTGCGCGGGTAAGGAGGCTCACGATGCGGGGTTTAGCCATCTCCGAATGGTCCAGTTGGATGTATGTGAGGTGGTGAGAGGTGACAGCCTGCTTGCAATCTCTCTAAGCAGCGACGGAATTCCTCTATAACACGCTTACCCGAACTCACATGCTTGGTTGTTGCGAAACGTTTCATTTAGTAGACCTCAGTACACGAAGCAAACACATCTTTAAAAAGAAAAGAAAACGGAAGCTCGAGGAAGCTCGAGACCTCACGATGGACATGAACGATAAGATGGAACTCCTCAAAGTTCGTCCACTCATCTCATTATCACGCTCATATCCGATGCTCCAACGCCTCACTCGCTCTGCTCGTCCAACACAAAACAGGCATCTTTCTCTCACGACTCGCAAATCTCGCGTTTGCTTGCAACACCAACAAGAAACAAGTCCACTCCGTTCGCCAGCAGAACTGAATTTCAGAAAGCAATTCACCCGACGTGTAGAAGAAGCTCAGCAAACGCTCACAATCACTGACTTACCACCCGAACTCCACCACAGCATCATCGACTTTCTCGACCCCATCGATAGTACGTGTCTCGGGTTGGCAAGCCGCTACTTCTATACCCTTCATCGACGACGACATGGCACTGTCCAGCTCGCCACGAGACGTCCGAGGCCGGACCACCGAGAATGGGCACGGAGGTCAGCATCCGCTTTGTCGGCCTTCAAGTCCATCGACGCAACAACGGCGATGACTGTGACTGACCCTACGGACGATGCCACGCTGGCAAACGAGCAACCGATATCCCATCCGCAGCCGCGACCACCCTCCTGCTGCGCAAAGTGTGGGCTCGAGCGCTGTGAACTACAGAGACATATCCGAGACTGGTTTCCTCCAGACCACGAATACTGCACCATCTCTGAGAAGTACGTGAGATTAGGCCTTCACAGAGAGAAAGAAGAGTTCTGTCACAGACGCTCGCCTAGAAATTCCAGCTGGTGTGGGAAACATCATCCACGATCCGTGGCCAAGAAAGTGGCCTGAGAAGCCATGGGACCGGGTAATATGACCACTGCTCAGCTACCGAAAAGGATGGGGTAAAAGATGATCTGGGTGGTATAGGAGAGGAGCACCCCTGGTTTACGCAACTTTGTGTCGTAAGAAAGAGTAATAAAGTTCAGACTCGAAAAGCTTATCTCAACTCACGTATGAATGAGACGGGACTCATCCGAGCTTCACCCACTCTCAATTCACCCCTCAATACAGTTGAATATGAATTAACTGACTCGTTGTATTCCCCCTTTGGGGCAGCATCTCCCTGCCGCATACCCGTTGATCGCATGAACTCCCGGTTCGGTTCGTGATGAGTTACAATCCGTCTTCGCGGTTCCCCGATTTCCGCTGAACTTGATTCAACATGGCTAAAAAAAAACGCAATCTCGAGTACAGAGTCTTAGGCAATCGCGGCCGAATCGCTAGGAGCCTGGGGTGAGTGCGAGTTAGGAGTCGCCAAGGAGCCGTATCTCTTAGTCAACTTGCCTCCTAGTTGCTGCTCACGAGCAAACCCTCAAAAGTAGGTTGAAGTGTTGCACGGTAAACGAGCATCTCATCAACGTCATGTCACGTAGGGATGCCAAGACTTTGGAAAAGTTCGAGAAGCAAGCAACGCCGCAGGCCAGCAGAGGCCAGGAACCCACAGCTTCCCGCGCCCCCCGGAGTTGGAGAAGTGGCAACTCCGGGTCCCCGGATTTATCCCCTCCCTCTATTACCTGGGATTCCAAGTACTCGCCGAGTCATTGTGTCTTTACATCAATTACCCGATTCGATGCGAAGGCGGTAAAGAACCCGGGGTCGAGCCAATCATGTCGAGTCGGACGGCTGGATCTGGAGTGATGGGCTATGCTTCGCAAGGATACTACGATGTCGCTCGAGACGAGGGGGGAGGCGGGAGGGAGAGCGGGACTGGGAAGTCTATTACAAATGGTGCGTTTACAGACGCTGTACGAGATGTAATGGTCCAAGACTTCTATTGAGAGAGAATCTCAGGATAGACTTATCGGTTGAGAGTCAAGAGCACACTTCTCTCCAGCGCATCGAGTCGCGGAGGCGCGACCGAGGCCGACAATAAGTCCCTGTTTCCACTTGTTTCTCCCCACCGGGCAAGTGATCTTCGTTTTGAAGTGGATGTGCTCATTGTATAGAGTGTGGCAATGTAGATCAACTCGAGTCATGGAACCTGTACCGTCAACCTTGTTGATTGACATACTGCTATTTGTTCTTATTGACGTGAACAAACGCATCGGTTCTCTGCCCTCTTTGACCTTGAAGCGCGCGGACAAAGAAACTGGTCATGGCTGGAAACAAAGAATTACGAGATGATGAGTTTGAAAATGAACGGTTTGTGGCTTGTGATTTTGTTGAATAAAGTAGAGTAAGGTAAGGTATGTATCTGTTGATGCCAACAGTGATGGCGCCAATTTAACATTTTGACCCAGAAAGGTCGTTTTTTCTCGAGCATGTTTCCGCGCCAGCGAGTAGATACGATACAAATGCCTATAGTCTTGGGCCAAGTAGAGTCTTCTAAAATCTTAATCCTCGTCGCTATGATCGAAGCAGGGCAGTCCACGCTCATGGTAATAATATGCAAAAAAGAAGAGAAGAAGAATAAGGTGGGAAAGGGAGGGATGCCATTGCGCTTTGCCCTCTCGGACCGGCAGGAAACACAAACATGAACTCTTTTCAAACCCATGACTCGTCCCTCTTTCACTGCTCCCTCCCCGAAAACTCGTAGCCCTCCATCCAGCCGGCAAGCTGATCCAACTCACAGCTGCCGCAGCGCAGCAGCAGACGTTGGGTGTACGGGACCTGTACCGCGGCTGCCGACGATGATTTATCCTGTTTGTCGTCCGCCTGGACCAAATCCGCGAACCGGGCATCGCTAAGGTAGTCCTTGACACGCATCTCCTCGGCCGGCAACGAAAACAGGCTGGCGTTCTGCCTCGTCACCTCCTCGATGCTGACGTTGTGTTCCCGCTCAATCATCCGCTTCCCGATGTAGTGCAGCTCATGTCCCTCGCCCAGCGTCACGGGCTCCCGCCTTCCCATGGCGAGTTCCCACGCAATGAGCCACGCCTGGTACCGTATATCGAGCCAGCGGCATTTAACAATCACAAACTCGACAAGGGAGAGGAAACTCGGTTTAAAATCGAATTGGAAATCGTCCGGCGTCTCGGGTGGCACGTCCGGGCAGCTGTCGAGGATCAACCGCGCGAGCACGACGATGCGCGCGAAATTCTCCTTGAAGCAGTCGTACACAGACTCGTCGTGGGACCGGCAGACGCTGATGCAGATCTTGGCCGCCTGGTACTTCATCTCCGTCTCGGCGCAGATGAGACCCTGATGCTTCGGCAGGGGACGGTCGCCGTCGGCGTCTTTGCGGGGGTTCTCGACAAAGGCGAGGAAGGCGGCGTGCCAGCGGTCGAGCGAGACGCAGATGTGTTTTTGCTCCTCGGACATGACGGGGCCCTTTGAGGCGAGGCGGGAGTCGGTCTGCGATCCGGGGTCGGCGGAGCGGATGTAGCGGATGGCGTCGAGGAGGATCGGGTCGACGGCGCGTTTGGGGAGGTAGATGCTACTGCTCTTGTCAAAGGGGCCAAGGTTGTACCTGGATCCCAGCCCGCCGAGGCTTCCTACGCCGCCGCCGCCGGTGCCGCCGCCGTGTTGGAGGTTGAGTGAGGGGAAGCCCGGTTTGTCGTAGTAGCAGAGCTGGATGATGCTGAGGCGGTGGAATTTCGGGACGATTTCGTCGAGGGTGTCTTGTTCCAGCTCGTCGTAGTCTACGTTATTGAGGATGTTGATGCCGCTGGCGAGGTGCTGCATGGCGGCGTCGAAGCTCTTGCGGAGGAATTCCGTGGCGATGAAGAGGATGCAGCAGGAGAGGACGACGTCCACGTCGTTTGGCTGCGTCATGTCGTCGTCGGGGTCGTCGCCGCCGGCTTGGCTTTGGGGTGATGTGAAGGGGTTCGTCGGCGTGAGGGTGTCTTGCCGGTCTGGTTCTGCGAGCTCTGGTATGCTCGAGATGCCTGGCGTCATAGCTGCCGGGGATTGGATTGCTGATGACGGTCCGGCGGAGGACAGGCTCGGGGATGAACGGTTGCTGGGTGATCCGAAGGACCTGCTACTGTCGTTTCGTATCGTCGTCGTCGTCGTCGAAGTCGTCCTAGTGGTGGTAGTTGTTCCTAACGTCGTCTGGACATCCTCAAACCCCCTCTCCGGCGCGACCTTGTTGGCCATCAACCGCAACGCCTTGCCATAATGCTCGTCGGCCTGCGGATTCCCTCTCCCTCCATCGGCAGTCGTTGCCGTCGCCGCTGTCGTCGTCGCCGACTTTATCGTCGCTCCTTGGATCGAGTTACTCGGGGGTCCTCGCTGCGGGAAAAGACTGCCAATGGCAGCCATGGCATGCCTCACGGCGGGCTCCGACTTACTCAGGCGCGGCACGAGGTCGGACCAGAACTTGTTTTCAAAGTTCTGCGGCAGGTTGGGGGCGACGTCCCGGGCAAAGTACTCCACGGTGGCCTGGTCCGATTCGAATTCCCAGCCCGCCCTGGCCTGCGCGAGCGCGTCTCTCAGCCTCGTAGTGCGCGAGCGGGCGCGGGCGATGGCCCGGTTGCTGGGGACGACGACGGCGTAGCCCTCGCATTTGCGGCCGGTGCTGGTGCAGCGCGCGCACGCCGGTTTTGCTTCATCGCACTTTACCTTGCGTGACCTATTTGAATGGGAGAAGAGAGAGAAGTAAGAATGGCGAAAATGACTGAATGACGGAGGGAGGGAGGTGTTCCTTTTTCTTCTTGAGGACGGGATTGTGAATGTGGGAACGGAGACGGAGACGGAGGGTGAGGCCCGGTGACCGCTCGGTCACACACGCACATCACACACTCTCACATACAACACATTCTACAACGCGCGCACACGGTACGGCACACCTTACACACACCATATACATGTATACCACCGTACATACGCAACCGGAGACGGGGCCGCTCGTCCAGTCTCGTCTCGGCAGCCGGCCCCGGTTGAAAACTCCAGCCCCGGAGACAATCCGGAGACCGGCCGGAAGTCATCCGACTTTTTGAGGGATATAACACGTTCCGCCCGAGGCTGGGATTTCGGGCTGAAGCCAAGGCAGCGCCGCGCAGCAGCCACCCTCCAGATCGCCGATCAAGAAAGAAAAAGTCAAAGTGAAAAAAGAGGAAATATAGTACGAGAAAAGAAACTCACTTGCAAGTTAAACAACCTGTGCGAACCTTTGGCTGGCCCTTCCGTGTCATTATGCCTGTTCCGCTTTGCTCTGCTCTGGTCTGGACTCTACCGTCCCGCGTGTGCTTGCTCCAGCTGGCAGGCGGGAAGGTTGAGAAGGTAAAAAAAAACCCGGACCCAGGTCCGAGTACCCGCACAAAGCACGTTCGACAGCTCGCGGCAAATGCGTGCGGGATTTGGGTGTGTGTGTGTGCGCGTGTGGTGCAGGAAGTTTCCGAAGACCCGGAGGCTGCGGCTGCGGCTGGGGGCCTGGCGGGAAAAAAGAGGAGGAGAACGAGGGTGACGGGAGGCAAGGCTACTCTCTTCTGAAGATCTAGAAGGAAAAAGGGATAAGGGACAAAGAAAAAAAACCAAGAGAGCAGTAAGTTGTTGCGTTTCAAGTTTTGGAGGGGCAGAAAATCAGCCGCGCCGATGAGGCCAGGCAGACTAGACGCAAGATGCAGGTCGCAAGGACGCAACTGGCCGAGGCTGAAGGATGGGTGAGATTGGTTCGTGTTTGTCTTGTCTGTCTGTCTCTGTCTATAGGCTACTTGCTTAGTTTTTCCTCTCCTCTGCCTCTTTCTTGTTCTCCTCCTCGTTCTTCTTCTTCTCTTTTTGTCTGCCCGCCCCCTTCCCCTCCGCCCTCCGGCCCCTCTCCCCCTCGACTAAAAGGTGACTGAGCAGCAAATTCCTGCCTGCGGCACTGCCTGGTCTGGCATGGTCTGGTTTCTTACCTACCTAGGTAATTCTGGTTCTGGTTCTGCTTCACCGTTCTGCTTCCTACGCGCAAGGCACAGGCACAGGCGCAGGCGCAGTGCGCGGCGTGGGTGGGCGGCGCGGGTTGCGGTGTCACTCTTGTTCCCCTGTCTCTCCCTGCGTCCAGTCGACTACCTACAAAGTATTCTTTTTGGCTCTTCTCTGCTTGCGACTTGTCCTCAATTTGGGTCAAATTTGGGTGCAAATTTGGGGGCCGCCGCGGCCACCACCGCCGCACCACCAACAAGATGCGTTTCTTTACCAAATTGAATTCTTCGGGCTTCTCCCCTCCCCTGCACAGCTGCAGTTGTCACCTGAGGAGGACCTGGTACGCCTGTGCTTCTTATGGCCGATCCAACAGGGCGCTAATTTTTTTGGTCACTTGGACTTGGCGTCGAGAAGACCGGGGGGAGGGAGGGGGGCGTGTAGTGTACCGTCGGGTGTTGATGAGATTGATGACCCAAGAAGGGAATGCGAGCGCGGCTGTGCCATGTTCAAGTTGTGTCTGTTGGACGGGGGTGGGATGATGACGGTTATGCAAAAAGGACTTTTGTCCATAATTATCTCTTGTGCCTCTTACTGTGCCGTATTTCTACGGATTACTCTTCTTCATCATCGTCTCACTCTTTCTACTCATCTAAGTTATAGAGAGAGTCAAGTACAGATACTCGAATCTTGACATCGACACTTTGGGGGGAACCGAAAACCTCCGCCCGTTGCCGTCCGCCTAACAAATCAGACGATTTGATTGTCACGAGCTAAATTGTTAGGGCTCGGATAATGACATGAGCAACTAGCGTCTCTGGATTCGTCTGGATTCTAGGCCCTGTCAATGGCTCATGCTTCATGGTGTCGGGCTTCAGCTACGTCTGACAGCTGACCAATGAGACGTTTCTAAACCGAGACAATGGAAAAAGGAGATGAATGCAGAAACAATGCTCGCATTCTGCGCAACCAACCCTGGCCCCCCCGTCCACCCGTCCACCGGTGCGTTGCGGCGTTGGGCGGCGTTGCCTGTGCCGGCGAGCTATTTCGCGAAGACACCACGTTTCCGAACACCAAACATGCCTAAACTCATGGATGATGGGAGGGGGCTTCAGGCTTGTCAGGGAAGAGGGGAGACTAGGTAGGAGGGGCCGTCAAATGCGACGGATCATCGGCAGATGACTTCCCAAGCGCCTCCCTTTTGAAACATTTGTCGAAATATCGTTTCTTCTCTGACAGAGAAACTGCCGTAAACCTGGCATGCCTTGTCTAGTCTCGGGTGACACCGTGACTAGTTACAGATGATCCGCCATACTCGGTACACAGTAGGAAAAAAACGGCCTTTGGAACTTGATAGAATGGGATCAGCATTGGGGAATGTTTCACTCCAATCAAAAGAATTGACCCAATAAGCTCAACCATAGACATTCGCACCAGCTGTGAAAACAACAGACAAGGGTCGGTTTTTGTGCCTGTAGCCCATAGATATAGCGTATCTCGCAAGCTGCGCGCTTCTCCCCTCCAAAATAGGAGTGCTCGGTAAGAAACCACATGAAAAAAGACCTAGGCTAAATCCGCCGATCTGAGCTTCAATCGCCGACTCACACACCCCCCAAAATAGTCCAATCCTCGCGAATCCCATCTTCTCAAAATACTTGACACACCGGGGACCATTGGTCTGTGTTTCTCGGTTGACCCGAGTGGTGTCGGTGTCGGAAATTGGTAAATGAAATGGCTAGTGAGCCGAGGCAACTTCGCACTTTGATGAATAAGATCCCAGCAGCCGGTTTAGTCTGCCCAGGCAGGCGAATTACGTGAGAGAGAAACTCGAGCAAAGGCCACCTTTGCATCCCGATTAATTTCCAAAGAATCAAAACAAAGGAGAAACCATTTCCCACGGTCGAATCCTGATTCCTTTCGCAAGAATCTGTCAGCTCGTAACTGCGTAAGCACACTGATGGATTGTGCTGCAAGTGTACAAGTCATCAAAGAGGGAGTTGGAAGGAATGCAATTTGTCAACATGCCGAAGCCACAAGCGTCACTATGTTTGAGACAATTCCAGATATCATTTACCGACCGGTCTAACGCCAAAAATGGCTTGGCATGGGTATTGGGAAAACCCAAAAGTACATATAGAAACGAGCCCCTTGCTGTCTCTGGATAGCCGGCGGGATATCTCGACTTTTGTCACCAGACGTTGGAGCCTAGACGTCGCGAGTCGTAACCGCGATATTCGCTGCCCACTACCCTCTACAGCCTTTTCAAACATAGCCCACAATTTCGAGAGTGTCTTCAACAATCAAAAATCCAAGACCGGCCTTGCTAGCTCAATCGGTAGAGCGTGAGACTCTTAATCTCAAGGTTGCGGGTTCGACCCCCGCGTGAGGCTCAAATCCTCACCGCGATTGACCAAGTCATTCTTCGGGCATATCTTTTGGTGGTTTTGATCACTTTTATCGAAATTGACAGAGCTTCGGGCACTTTTGTTTGACTTTTTGACCTTACGCTTTTGGCTCTTCTGCGTTGACGGCTTTGGACTTATGCACACGCCACTCGTCTGAACTAAAGTTGGAGAAACTCTAAGTTGGCCTTGAACTTAGAACCAAACGGGTATCGAACTATCGATGCAATGATTGGTCTCTGCACGATGCTCATCCATCTCATCTAGATAGTCCGAAAACGGCTGACAGACCAGGAGATTTAGAAGCTTGCTGTGGAATGGCCAAGTCGAGACCTGCAAGAATAATGTAGTCAAAGCGCTCGCTGGAAACTTCTCTCCATGGTCTGCGAAAGAAGTGTCTCATTAAAACAGTGTTTTCTTCAACGTGTCTAGACTCATCTCTTTCATCGACACATTCTCCTCCCCGCGTCACATTGGCAGTAAGGGGCTCGCAATCTTTCGTCTTCCACCTTCTCCGTCATGGTCGTCCAGAGCGATGGCTGGTGGGTTAAAGAAGCCCAGGCATCTCTCTGCCTTCAACATGGACGAAGATGGGTAGACATGGAAGCTCAAGGCTTCCTATTTCGTCGAGAGATATAGAAGAGACTCCATCGGGATGGTACCTAAACTCCTTGCTCAAAACTTGAACACTTCACTTCACTCCATACTAACATGCATCAAGCTCTTCCTTGCTGATTTCCTTTCTAACACAACGACATGAACCACGAACCACGAACCACCAAAGCCATGCCGAAATTCGAGATCCTCAATCTGCCGTCAGAAGTACTCCTGGAGATATATCAACACCTAGCAGCACCGATGCAAGACGCGTCCTCAGAACACTTGTACTGGTATTATTTCTCCATCTACAGCAGCGGCGTCATGCAAAGACCAAAGCTGGCCGAAGTCCTCGCGTGTGGTGCACCCCTTGCTTGACTGATGCGGACGTGCAGAGCCATGCACTCGATGGCGGGCCACGAACTCTGCTCGTGCTACTACGACATGTTACCTGCAGCAGTCTTGCCAGACCTGTGTCTTTTGTTGGACATTCGAGTCCCTGAACGATTCTTTCGTCATCACCCGCTACCTGGGTAGAGCTTGAAAGATATAGAGAAGGACATCGCTGCCACTCTGAAAGGTTTGGATATTGCGAACAGGTTATGCATGCGTGTAGACGTTCACAACGACGTAACTACAGACATGAAGTGGTCGGATGAATAGCCTTGACGAAGAATGGACCACCAACGCCGCAAACCGCCTCGTTGTCTTTCTCAACTAGAACAATTATCGTTTACCTTAGAATGCGGACCGCAAGACCGCATTTCCACATTCACTGCCCACCTCCTCCTCGACTAAGGTACCTCCCCGTTTTGACCAGCCTCAACGTCAGTCTAATCCATCCATAGAAACCCGCCCTTCCAGCGTTCAAGACCAACGAAACTACACATAGCTTTTATACCGAAACCAAACACCCAATCACCCGTCTCGGGTCGATCGAGAACCGGAGCTCGCCAATCCACAACCATAATCAACATCGTGCCCCTTCTTGCCCGTTCACGAAACGTTTTCCTTCCGAATTCCAAGGGATGTTCGTCTCGAACACCTCCGTCACCTCTTCATCCTGCTCTACGGACCGCTGTCAGTCACAACTTCGATCTCAGGGTGAGGAAATTACTGCGGGGGGATTACTATCAATAACCTTGACGAATTAAGCACCGAGAACTTGGAGAGTTTGACGGTCTCGCGCGCAGAAGACTGTTTCGACGAGCTAATAAGAACGAGTCTGCCAGAGTTGTGCCGCGAGCTGATGGCTGGGCGGTTCAAGAACTTGGACGACGTTGAGATCTTGCACCACGCCATCGATGAAGATACACGGTCCAATACAGCGCGCAGCTTCTTGAAGTTGTTCTGGTGGAAGATCCTCAAAGAAGTGTGTACTCGGTGGTTCGAAGGGAAGCTCTCCAGGGTTGCTGATACTCAGATTGTTCAACCACGCGCAGCCCCGCACTTAGTCATAGGCGATCGATGGTCTTCATGAATTCGTTGAGCACTTTTTGCAATTAAGAAATAATAGACCTTGAACCTGGACTATGTCAAGCCTAGGGTGGTAAAGCCATCATGCTCTGCTCTTCATGAATGACTTGAATGCGTATGCTCATGGATCTCCACCGACTTATTCCCCGAAGCCGTCCCCCTCGACTCAAACATCGTCAATCCATGCTCCTCAATATCATCCTCCCGCCCCACCCCCGTACCTAACGACCGATGCTTCTTCCTCTTCATCCCCGAGCTCCCAATCGTCTGAATCGAACTATGCACCTTGGGCGTCTGATCCTTACCTCCACCCGTGAACAGCCTCCTCAGCGTCGGCGCGCACCCGCACACAATCGCCAGATTCGCCTCGAGCGCGGTCCACACCCAGATATTGAAGCCGTCCCATGTCAGGTCGTAAGAAGGGTCCTCCACATACAAAACTTCGACGCGGATGACCCAGTACGTTCGCATGATGCCCGCGAGCACGACGACGGTGCCGAGGCCAAAGAGGATGATGAGGCTGATGCGCTGGTTGAGGGGCATCTGGAGGCGGAAGAGGGTCGGCATCGGGAGGAGGTACACGGCGACGTCGGTGAGGACGTTTGTGATGCCTTGACCTGCTAGTGGCGGCCATTCGGGGATGCAGTTTCCCCAGTCGGCGAAGAGGGTCCAGTAGTGCCATATCGGCCTGTAGTTGAAGTGTCTGTCAGTCTTTTTGCTATCCGAATGGGTCCAGGGTGAGAGTGTTTGCTTACATGCACTGCGTCCAGAGCACAATGAGAAAGACCCAGACGAGGGTGAAGACAAGACCGCCAGTCACCCAAGTAAGCCGTTGGAACCATGTCCCCGGTGCCGCGAGCCTCAGATAGCTGGCAAGAATTGAGAGCTTGGACAAGCCGGAGGCGAACAGGAAAAGAGTCTGCGCAGCCATGGAGATCTATCATAAATCAAACGTTAGAGTTACGCCTCTAAAGCCAATATCACGCCGAAATGAAAACGTACCTGTCGGCTTTGCTTGATCAGTGACAGTGGAACATCCCATACATGCAGGTTCCAGCCGTATAGTTCAGTGGCTAATCGCAGATTGTTAGCCTCGAGGTTCCTTATTGCCTTTGACATTGCCTTTGACAGCTTCAGATGAGGGCGAGCCGTACCGAGAATGACGCAAATCGTGACGCCAATGCAGAATACCATGCCAGCAACCATAAGCCAGTCATCCCACCAGGTCTGTCGAATCTTGACAATCCTAATGTACATCCGCAGGCAGAGGCATATCATGGCGATGCCCAAAAAGACCATCTCGATGATGAGCAGCCCCGGCCCCCGATTCTCCGGGTTGATGTAGTTTGGCCGCGGCCAATGGATGAGCACATCGATGGGTGGGATCCTCATCGTGATAGAATCTCCGTTCCTGTCTCGGGCGTTTCCTTGCGATTTTGGATATTGTCGTCGACAGACATAGGCAAAAGGCCTCAAAACCTTCCCCTCGGCCGTAAGTCTTGAGAGCGCCGTTGAAGATCAGTCGACGATTAGTAGTTCAAAGGTTATTCCATAGGAAGTGGCCATAGCTGATACTATTAAACCTCCCCTCGCCAAGCAAACACGCAGCGCTATCCTTCATTGTCACATCGCTTGGAGAAATGTTTTTTTTCTCTTCTCAGGGGCACACGATTCACCTTGTCAGCGTAATAACGCTACGGAGCGGCTCCGCGAAAAAAAAGTGTCAAAGAAACAGTGTGTCTCAGACAGCCGGATGCATCTTCGACAAGGCGCGACGGGATCAGCACTAGGCAGTCCGAACCATGTGTTTTGGGTCGACGCCACACATGGGGCGTCGCGCAATCCTCCAGAAAACCCGAAGATCATGCAATCATAAGGGGGGCTAGCTCTCGATGTGACGCCCAGTCATGCCAGCCTAAGTTGTGCTTAGACCACATCTAGAAATCTAGAATTTCGCGGCCGCATTCGAATCTCCCACATCGCAAAAGAATGACTACAAGGCGGCCGCTGGGCGTCGACCCGGACAAATGGCACGCTTCAATCTTTCTTCCCACCGGGCGGGGCTAGCCTCGAAGGCTTCTTGAACTTGCTCCTCTTGACTTGGTTCCAAAACATTGGGATAAAGCAGCCCGTCCTTTGCTCGTTGTGTACGTAATGGGGTTGGCTTTCTCAATCAACTTGTTGATGTCCAGGTGCTCCCATATCCTCCAGGAATCGGATCACCTTCTACGCCGCGTGGCAGCCCTACCGACAACACCAGTCTAATGACAAACACTCCATGTCCCGGCTCCTGACTCCTGTGTGCCCCAAGCTCGATGAAGATCCCCGCGCGCGTGTGGAGAAAAAGAGAGGCACAGACAAAGATCATCATGTAATGACTTGCAGCTCGGACGCTTAGGTCCAGACTATTGGCAGCTAGCGCGCTGGTTTTATTGGCAGCCCTAAAGCCTTGTGCCTGCCCGAAGTTTTGGGTTGAAGATCATTCTCTAGTACCTTTTTCTTGTTTATTTTTTATGGCAGTCATAGAAAAAGCCGCAGACGAATTCTATTCCCCGTCAGTGACTAGAGGGGTTTGAATCTCACATACGCTTCTTTGGAGTATTCGAGAGTCGAGGCCGATGAGTCGAGTGGTGCCACGTACCGCAGCATAAGATGCGGTCTCAACAGAGTCTTCCCCCATCTCGAGCAGGAGCAGAATTCAGGATTTGGAGAAATTCTTCTCCTTTTCCAAGACACCGATTGCGCTCCCGGTTCCCCGGCCTACTTCAGGGTCTGGTCGAGCCTGGCAAGCTTGGGAACGGCTTTAATTCCGACGTGCTGGGTCCACCGTCTAGCTTACTCCTGTCTAAGAAAATGTGAAATGAATCAACTGTCCTATTTGGACCTTCGCGGCGACGCCACATTCCCAGAGGTCCGGCAGGCAGAAGGATGGATCAAGTCCAACTGACTAATTACCCCAGCCTAACCCATTAGGCCCAAGAAAGCTCACCCTGGAACTTGCGCGATTCCAGACATGAGTGAAGAGTGGTACTCACATTGTCTGCTTTCGCGTGGTCGGTTAAATACTAAGGGAACTAGGCAAGTCCAAGCGCGGATGGTCACAATCAGTGGCGACGGGGATATATGGCATCCATACGGAGTACGGCTCACAAAAAGCTTGGCTCGAGAGAGCGGATCAAGACTGGGCTTGGTCTCGGCTTCGGCCCCGAAATGTCGGCCCCATGCTTCGGAGCCTCCTCCGAACGTCAGGGAGAAATTGCTCGGCTACCCAGGTGCTCAAAGTAATGCAGGTCATGCATTGCACGTCACCTAGTGGCGTTTTCCCGGACTGGGGGATACTTTTTCCATCTCAAACTACTAATTGTTCAACCGATTAAAAGTGCTTGTGATCATTTTCTTGTCCTACAGAATCTCACATTCAGTGTGATACATCCCCTTCAATACCGGAGCGAAGAGCAATGAGGAATCCAAAACCATGTGTGGTGTTTGCCATGAGTACAGAAATCTGTGCACTGGAAGAAACAAACAAAAAAGCAAACGCAACTAGGCCAATCATAATGGACGGATATGAGGTTTTACCCCACAAACCTTGAGCGACTTAATCGGGCACCTTTTGGCATCCCATCAGCTTCACCTCCTCATCCAAGGTCAGCGTCTGCTTCAAGTGACGATAGCCTCACAAAGGCTGATATCTGTGTTTGTTAACTCTCTCTCAACAGCTGATTCCGTCTACCGGCTCTGAGCACCCCAATATGCCGGCGAGTCCTCACTACAATGCTCATCTTTCAAGACCAGCCCCCGCAATGCTAACATAGCCTCACTCACACAGCTTTACAATCAAGTCGTCCTTTTTGGAGATTCACTCTTCCAATTGTCCTGCACGCCTCAAGATGTCTTCTCCTTTCAGGCTGCCCTTCAAGACTGTAAGATGGCTTTTCATCATCCATTTTTCAAGCTGGCGGGCAGTCCAATGCTGAAACAAACAACGAGCAGTCTGTATGAGGCGTCTCGATGTCATCAATAGAGGCTTCTCAGGCTACAACACGGCCAACGCTCTAGGAGTTCTCCCATACCTCTTCCCACCACCTTCGACAACAACGCCTAAGATAGACTACATCGTGCGTCAAAACAGTCCTTGAGCCTCCCAGACATCTCCATCAGCGATATTAATCTCTTTCAGCTAATCCTCCTCGGCGCCAACGACGCCTGCCTCCCAATCCCCACAAACAGCCAGCAAATCGCCCTAGACCAATACAAACAAAACCTCAAAGCCATCCTCACCCACCCCACCATCCAAGCTCACAGCCCCAAGATCCTGCTCGTGAACCCCCCTCCCCTCGACGAGATCCGCATGCTCGAGCGCGATCTCGAAAAGGGCCACGGCCAGGCGTCGCGCAACGCGGCCGTGAGCAAGACGTACTCGGACGCGGCGCTCGCCGTGGCATCCGAGGTGCCCGGCGTCGTGCCGATCGACCTCTACGGCGCCGTCATGCGGCGGGCTGAGCAGATGACGATCGGGTTTAGTCGGAGTAGTCTCCCACTTGGGAGCCCCGGAGGTGAGCGGGGTGGGCTGGAGGTTTTGGTGCCGGATGGGCTGCATTTGGGGGGTGAAGGATATAGAGTGCTGTTTGAGTTGGTGAAGCCTCACATTGGGCCGTTTGACGAGTCGAGAGAGGATTACCGGCTTCCGGATTGGAAGATTCTTAACCCTGGTAGTTTGGGTTGAAGTGGTAGAGGGGCGCAGTAGTACTAGAGAAGTCTCTCCGTATGGAATTCGTTTAGAAGATTTAAACATTAAGACTTTGACATTAGACTACGACAAACTCAGCTTCAATACTCATGAATCACACCGAGCAGTCCCCTTGTGCGTCACTTCAACATGGGATCCCCTCAATCACTAATGCCTAGTTGTTCGTCCTCATTCAAAGAACATATCGGAACATGGGCTACGCTTAGTTAGCAAGTCACTCAGCAATCGATCCAAACACCAGGCAATACTCACATTAGCTTTATCCGTCACGTCTTCGAACCCAAGCACCTCACCCTCTCTCTGCATCTCCTTGACCTCCTCCTCAGACTTACCCTCCAGCATCCGATCACGCTTCTTATTCTCCAACACATAGATGAAGCGCAGAATCTGGTTCAGGACTAGGTTGAGAATAAACCCGCACAGCATGGCCACGATGCCGCTGTGGTACGCGGGTGCCTCGGTGCTCTTGAAGAACTGCGGGCCGGCAATCTGCCCGACGCAGTAGCACACAAAGACCCAGCCCGAGGCAACAGATCTCTTCGTGCTGCCGGCGATATTGGTCGAGAGCAGGCCGAGGATGACCATGAAGCCGACGGGGTAGGAGCCAAGTAGCCAGACGCCGACGAGGCGGCCCCATTTGTTGTCTGCGTGGAGCTGGTTGATGAGGCAGGTTCCGATGATCTGATTCAAAAGTCAGCGAAATATCAACCAGTAGGACCGGCTAGAGCATACCGGAGGGATCATGGCAACGGTGCCGACGTGCAGTCTCGAACTCTTAATCTTGCTGCTCAAAAACCCGGCTCCAAGCTGCGTGACAACCTGTACGGTAGAAAGCGGCAGGTTCATAAGCGTCGTGTTGAGGGGACTGAATCCAAGCCCCTGAATAATCAACGACCCAAACGCCAATCCGCCCGACGCAATCGCATTCACAAACGAAATCAGCCCCAAAATAACAACTGCCGGGTCCTTCGCCGCTTCAAACACCTGCGCCTTGACAAACGTCCTGCTCCGTCCCGTACCAGTCTGATTCTCCGCCACGCGCTGCACAGCAACGACCTTCTCCCTCTCCGTCAGCCACGTCACCTTTGCGGGCCCGTCCGGCACGAGAATTGTAAACACGACGCCCCAGACGACGGTCATGGCGCCCAGGATCAGGAAGATGTACTTCCACGGCGACAGCGAGCCCGTGATGTGCCCGATGCCGTACGCGAGCAGCGTGCCCACAAAGCTTCCGACACCCAGGAACGAAACCCACAGCGCCGAGCGGCCGGCCTGCTCCTGTCTCGTCCACCACATTCCCGTGACGGCCACGAAGCCAGGCGATATGGTCGCCTCCGTGACACCCAGTAGGAACCGAACCGACGCCAGCCCCGCAAAGGAACTACACGCCGCAGTGGTCATTAGAATCATACCCCAGAGGACGATATTCACGCCCAGGAACTTGGCGACGGGGAACCGTTGGAGGATAGCGACGCCGGGGTACTCCGCGACAAGATACCCAAAGTAGAAGATGGAGCTGGCCCAGCTGTACTGCTGCCCGACGAGCTTGTTGTCCTTGATGATGCCGTAGACGGAGCTGTACCCCAAAGAAGTCTTGTCGATGAACTGCAGGGCGTAGGTGATGCAGAGGAAGGGGAGGATGCGCCTGTCGAGCTTGGCGAGGATGGAGCGGGACTCGGCGGCGTCGAGGGGCGCGGAGTCGAGGGCTGAGGCGGCGAGGGCGCCGGTTTCGTCGGTGATGTGGTGCTTTGAGGGGATGGCGTCTTCATCTAGGGGGCCGGTGGTGGCGGGGACGATATCCGCGAGGACCCGCTTCTCCGGGTCGGAGCCCGGGGTTTCGGTGGGTGCCATGACGGAGTGCCTTGCACTGTAAGGAGGAGGGGGAGTTTGTCAGGGACTAGAGAGAACTTGTGGGTTTACCGAGTCCCAGGTTCTTGGGTCGTATTAGTGTATTGGCACGAGGATCCGGAAAAGAGAGTTTTCTCCTCCTTTTTGAGGTTCTTGGGAGCCCACGACTTCTTTTATCAATGGAACGTTGAACGAAGGCCGCGGGCTGGAGTCATTGGAGCGTGTGGGTCTTGTTCATCGGAGTGGATCCGACAATCGGCAATTCCATGTTATTTTCCCCAATGGTCTTATCTCGCTCGGGTGATTTCTTCCACTCGCCAGCCCCTCATCTTCACGTAGTGTGATGCCAGCGGCAGAATGGTTGCAGAATGGTTCATGGATCTGCTGACATGGATAAGGTCTCGTCGGACTTTGATCGCCCGTTTGCAGCTTGAGCCCCAATGTGAACTCAACACTTTCGAGTGGAACACTGGTTCGCCAGCTTGCTGGATAAACTCACCTAATAACGTATGCCCTACGAGATACACCTTAAGATGCGAGATGCTCGTCTTTTCCCAACGGCCTTTCGTCCGTGTCTGATTTGTGGTCGTAATGCTTTCTTCCCTCGGAAAACTTGAACCTCTCCATACGGAGTATCCAAAGCGCAACCGGCGCACACTACGGGACCAAGACAGCCGATAACACTGGGTCGATAAGAACATGGGTCCGGCCAACGGGTAGCTATCTCCTGCGGGGAACAGCCGGTCCTCCACTTCCAGACTCCAAGCAGTCGCCGCCTTTACCCGGCGCACCATGCCAGTTTGCATAACGATGCATAATCCCTCCCAACAGACCAAATGAGGAAGCTCCCAAAAGACCATCACTGGTGAGCCATGAGGCGTTAGACGGCCAAGCGCCTTGGCAAGACGGTTGGTCTTGTCAGCCTCATCTCAAGAGGACCGCGTGTCTTTATCGTCGTCTTCATCCAAATTCATTCACGTTTGCGGATCAGCGAGCACAACTCCCATTCATCCAATCTCACGAAGAAAGGTGAGTGTACCCTAGCATCGCTCAAGCAGGTCGATCTTCGAGTCTATCTAACCACCTCTCTCAGACCCCAACCACAACCAAAATGGCCAAGCAAAAATCAACGCCAGCCGCCTCGCCCGCCGCAGGAGCGCAAGTAGATGAGGCATCGCAAACCTCGCAGACCTCGCAGCAGGCGCAGGTCGCGGAAACATCGCCGGCGGAGAGGATACTAGCGCTTCTCATGCCCCCTCCTTGGGCGCGCCGCCTTATATTTGTCGCCCTAATCTTCTACATCACCCCGTTCCTGCTCACGCACTGGATCGAGACGTCGGCGAAATTGATTAGGATGATACGGACGTTGACTGGCCAGAGATGATTCTTCATTCAGGGGGTGAAGAGATGCCGGGTTAGGTTGCTGGGGTTCATGGAAGTGGGTTGAAGAGCTCTGCGGTCAGCAGGAAACTGCGCATTCATTCCGGTTGAAAAGAGGTTCCAGAATTTTGGGGTTTTAAGATGGAGGCATCGGAACTGCCAATACTTAATGGAAGCAAACTCGTCTTATTATGAGCTTATCTGAAGCAAAGTCATAACAAAGAACCAAGCGACCGTCTGAGACATGCAATCAAGCAGAGTTCACAAAGTACATTAGAAACACCAAGACACCTATATTTGAGCGAGATTTCATGTACCTCGCAATCGCTTCGATACATGAGTGTATTCGTTCCTCCTCTTGTCCCTTACCTATTCTGAGGTACTGTGATATGCGTTGATTTATGCACGACCAGCTTCCAGAGAAGCATAACACAGCGAATACGCTAGCTGGAATAGGCAACTTGCATCGCACGGCATCCGCGGCCTCGGTACAGATAACATCAATCGAAACCCGGCCGGTGGTCGGAGACACGCCGCCGTTCGGAACCGTCTCTTCAGACGGCCCTCACTACGCAACCTCCTCTCGCCGGAACTCACTCACTCACCTACCTCACTCTCATCAGGAACAGTGCATGTTCAACCCAACTACGACGCCTCTCACCCCAATCAAGGGGCACTTCAACCACCGGCTTGATCGACCTCATACTCATCAGCTACAGTGAAACTCACATCAACTCTTTCAAAATGGGTACATCAGAAGACGACTTCGTTCTCGTCTCCCACGCAGGCACCCACCCCACATGCACCTCAACCTCACCTTGCTCATTAGCCCCAGCCTCATCCTCCCCATCCTCCTCATCATCACCACCACCACCGCCTTTCCTCGATGAAATCTCCTCCATCGTAACAGACCTCGCCGACGCACTATGGCCCGTCAACAAAACCATCCACGATAACCCGGAACTCGGCTACCGCGAGTTCATTGCCCACGACACCCTAGTGGCCTTCATGCGCACTCAGCCAGGATGGGAAGTCACCCCCTCAGCCTACGGCATGAAAACCGCCTGGGTTGCCGTCTGGGAAAGCGGAAAGAAGGGACCAGTTGTGTCGTTTAATGTCGAGATGGGTAAGACCTCTCCCCCTCCTCCTCCTCCTCCTTCTGCTCCCTAACTAACACCTCCCAACAGACTGCCTCCCAGGAATAGGCCACGCCTGCGGCCACAACCTGATAGCAACAGCCTCCCTAACAGGAGCCCTCGCAACCTCAACCCTCCTCGCCCGCCACGCCCTCCCCGGCAAACTCATCCTCTACGGCACCCCCGCAGAAGAAGGCGGCGGCGGCAAAATCGCCCTCCTCAAAGCCGGCGCCTACAACCCCTCCACCTGTCCCGGCGCCGGCTCCCCCTCCCGCGCACCAGACATCAACCTCATCTCCCACCCGGGCATCGTCCCCTCCACGGCCCTGATGCGCACCTCGGCCTACACCTCCCTCCGCCTCGAATATTTCGGCCGCGAGGCCCACGCCGCAGCGAACCCGTGGCTCGGCATCAACGCGCTCGACGCGCTGGTGGTGGCGTATACTTCGATTTCCGTGCTGAGACAGCAGACGAGGCCGGGGGACGTGATCCAGTGTAACATCTCCGACGGCGGCGCGCGGCCAAACATCATCCACGCGTACGCGGCGGCGAACTTCGTGGTGAGGTCGGATACGCAGCCGCGGCTCTCCGAGCTTTTGAAAAAGGTGCAGAAATGCTTCGCTGCGGGGGCGGAGGCCACGGGGGCGACGTTCAAAGTTACGTTTACGGGCGCGTATAAAGATCATGTGCCGAATCGTGTGCTGGGGCGTTCGTATACGCGATACTTCAACGCGTTACTGGGCTCTGGCGGCGACGGAGACGGTGACGACGACGCTCCGATCCCGACGGACGAAGACGTGGATGAGATTCGCGGGCGGACGATGGCGAGTACGGATCAGGGGGATATCAGCTACGCCATGCCCTCCCTCAGCGTCGGCTTCGCGATTCCGCCTGGGAAGGGAGGTCAGGGCCCGCATAACCCGGAGTTTGCGGAGGCGGCGGGGACGAGGGTTGCGTTTGAGAGGAGTTTGCGCGTTGGAAAGGGGCTGGCTGGTGTTGCGGTTGAGGTTTTGACCAAGGAGGGTATGGTGGACGAGGTGAAGGCTGCTTGGAGGAGGGATATGGGGGTATGATGGGGGGGGTCTTTGAGATGGAAGGAGAATAGCGAAAAGGAGTAGCTAAGGTATACAGCTGAGGTTTTGTGGTATATACCGAGGTCGTTTGAAAATATATTCGTGTACGTACTTCTGAGTACTCACCTTACATACCTAACCCAATAACAGATCGAATCATCCTCTAGCCTTTATCCATGACCTCATGTCCTCATGATTCAACAACAAACACCGGACCACTTGGTCGAGGGGTAGGGCTGTAGAGGCCCCGGTTACATGGTGAAGACTCCCATCTATTTCGGGGTCCATGTTCGAACCCTCGATCGGTCCATTCTTTTTTCCATATTTTGCTTTCTTACTTTCTGAGATGATGTCTGATCCTCTTTCCACGATCACACAAGTGAGATTTGTGAGCAAGTTTCTGGAGACTTGTCCTCGTATCATAGCGTACACACACAAAGGTGTATATCCATCTACTCGCCTGTATCATATCTTTCAGCCTCTCCTTTACCCCCACATCATCACAAGTTTAAAGCCCCCCCGCAAAGCATCAGCACATCTTCTTGTGTATAGTAAATGATCAAGGTGAAAGAAATCATGATTGTACAAGGTCCTAGTACATCCCAACCCGTAGGTATAATAATACACGCCCAAAACTCCCCATCATAGTCAAGACACCCCGATATCAAAACATATCTCATAGTCATACCAACTGCTTCTCTTCCTCCATCCCTCCCATTCCTGGGTAGACCTAGAGGGGCAGACGACCTCAGACCTTCAGACCGTCGTCCCTACATCCTCTTGGCACCCATCTCCTCCGCCCCAAACTCATCCCACTCCTCCCTCCCAATCCTCCTCGAAATCCACACCCCCAGCCCGGTAACACCACAACTCGCCAAAAACCACCCCTCAAACCACCAATCCACAAACCGCGGCTCCAGCGCGCCCGCCAACGCATCCCCCACCGCGCTGCCCATCTCCCGCGGCAAATTGCTCCTCAACAACAGCGCCGCCGAAATCACATACACGGCCGTGATCTGCCCAATCATGAGCGCCAAGTTCGCCTGCGCCTGGTACAGCAACCCCGGCATCCACTTGGAGAACAGGTGGAACGTCTGCAGCACGCTGTTGGCGCTCGCCGCGAGCATGACACCCGACAACAGGAAACTAATCTGCCGCGCCCACGCAATCTGGTCCAGCGAAGGGTCCCAGTGCCGCGCCAGCAGGCCGAGGAACCGGTTGATCGGGTCCGAGGAGCTGAAGCTCGAAGAAGGGTAATACGCCCTCCGCAGCGTCGCCAGCGTCGTCGCCAGGATGCGGTAGAGGCAGTACAGCGAAAAGACGTAGTGCGGGACGGCGAGCACTTTCCCAATCGTCGTCGCCGCGCGCGCGTCCGCTGCCCGGCGCGAGCGCATCACCCCCAGCGAGGAATGCAAGTTCGCCTCCATCGTCTCGAGGCCCGTAATCTCCAGCCGCAGGGCGCGCATCTCGGCCTCGTCGCCGCCGCCCATGCCCCTCACGGCGCCGAGCATCTTGCCCATGAACCCGCCGCCGCCGGCCCCCGAACTCGAAGACCCGCCCGACTGCGCCTCGGCCGCCTTCCGCTCCAGCGCCTGAAGCCGGTGTCGTTTCGTGAGGAGCATCTCGTTGGTGGCATCCAGCCCGGCCTCCTTTCTCGAAACATCCGCCTCCGTAACGGGCCTCTTTCTCCGTTCCGACACCGCGCCGAGGGTATGCCACGGGCTCGACACCGCCGCGAACCCGCTCAGCATCGCCATCAGCGAGATCCCGATAACGCCGATCCTCTCCAGACAAGCGCGCAGCACCCCGCCGCCCGCCGTCGCCGTCTTATCAAGCCCAACCAACCCGCCCAGGCTCCAAAACGCAAACACCCACCCCCCGAAAACGAGCATCTGCACAGCCCACGCGAACCTCGGTATCCTCCCCTTATTATTCCGCTGAAACTTCCACCCGGCGCCCGAGACCACGCTCTGGATCTCGAGAAACGGAATGACACCCACAAGCAGCACAAGCAACGTCGGCACCGTAACCCGCAACCCGACCTCCCTCGCGCGCCTGCTCACCAAATCCGAAATCTCGCTCAGTATCAACTCGCCCAGCACCGTCGCCAGCGCAATCGTAACACTAAACACAGCGGCCGCGACGCGCCGCCGCGCGCTCTTTTGTCCGTGTTCGGCGTGGGCCTGGCGGAGGCTCGGCGGGGCGTGGGAGGGGAGGTAGTGGTCCTCCCCGTCGTGGGCGTCGTGGACCCTGGCGAGTTTGGGGAAGATGGTCTGGCTCGCGAAGACGGCGACGGCGGCGAAGGTGAGGAGGAAGGGCAGCAGCGAGAAGAGCAGGCCGACGGTCGACGGTGCGTTGGGGTCTACGGCGGCGCAAGCGGACTCGTCGCAGGAGGCGGTGGACCAGAACCAGGGCATCTTGTTGGTGGTGATGGTGGTGGTATCGTCGGTAGTGGGGCGTCGTCTGCGTTTGCGCGCGAGCAAAGGGACATGTGCGATATGTATCCGTAGCCGAGCAGAGCAAGATTCATCCTATGTCTGCTTCTCGATTGTTGAGTAGGATGAAAGCAGGTGTGGCAGAGAAGAAAACAGACTGGTGTCCTTAGCGAGGAATTAGCATGGCTGTCTTCGACATTGTTTGGTATGCGTTGGCTGGCTTCGGACAACCGTTACAGTGCGACGGCTGTGACGAGAAAATAAGGGCGACGTTGGATTCGTAACCTTTGTGTCGGACTTGGGGGCCCCTCAGCCACACGACAACCTGGCCTCAGCTCTCCACTCTGAAGCTCCGGCGACTTTTTTTATCGGAGCTTCAGCCACATGTCTCTGCGCCACACTTTGTACCTCCTGGTTAACTTTGGAACCTCAGAAGTCTGGAACTTTGGAACTCGCCCACCTTCGTCAAGAGCAGCCCCGCAAGATGCGACGGAGCGGCCAATGGACACCAGGCAAAGACTCACTCAAGACTCAACAGCCCCATGAACAACAGACGCTGTCACAAAAAGATGTACGTCACACCACCAGAAGCTGTACGGATAACGCAATAGAATTTCGGAGAGTTTTCATCATTTCAGTCTCTTATGGGTATCAATCCACGGGCTCCATGCAGAGCAGGAGGTTTTAACAGCTACGCCGACTACCTAGACAATCCTCCCTTGACACTTCCCTTCGTCTCCGCACACACACCACAACTACGGGATATGTCGTCCCAGCAAACTGAAAATGCCCACGCTATCGACCAAACGCCGTCTAATCCCACACATGCTAGTTCGTAACCCTACCTGCCTCTCCATTCGAAGCCATGGGGCTGCTGTATCAGCTGTTGCTGCTGTGTCGCGAGGCTTTGGACTCCTCGTCTTCGTCGTCATCTACTCCACTGGCGCTAGAGTCCAAACTCGACTTTCGTTGCTTGAGGGCTGCCGCCTCGTTGGCCTCCATCTTGTGGAGCTTGTCCATCTGCGACGAGTTGATAAGCTGGTCGCCAGAGAAAGTCTCGAACTCGTCCTCATCATCGTCATCTTCCTCATCGCTGTCGCCCGCTGCACTAGGCGGGGCGGATGATCTACCCGTGCCCGCGCTACTCGTTTGTGCGAGATTGGATGGCGCTGATTGGTGTCTCGGATGCAGAAGAGCATTGAGGTCGACTGGCTTGATAGTTGGGTCAAATGCCGCAGGCAATCCTAGCGCTTTGGCGACTTGATGTGCCTCTTCGTCCGCCGTGTTGTGAACTTCCACTTCATACATGCTGCTTCTCTCGCTGTCGGCCTCGTGTTTTCCGCCTGTCGCTGACAGCATCCTGACATATGTCTGCCGTTCCGTATCGTTCTTTCTCTTATTCTTCTTCTTCTCCCGCTTCTCCGTCGGGCGGACGACGACAACAGGAACAGGCGAGTACTGCAAACAGTACTTCGAAAAGGAATTGCGCGTATTGACCAGGCCTTGGAGGCCACCGAGCGACCGGCCCCTCGTGCCAACGATGAGCATTGCAGGCTGGTGAATTTGGATCTGGGACATGATAATAATCAGCGCCTACTCCACTGCCGTGCGCCAAGACTGCCGCGTCACATCTTTCTACTCACCAGTCGCTGGAATGTCGCATGGAGTTTTCCACTCGCGTACTCCAGTACAATACTGATGGCTCGGTTCAGGCCGTTGCGCTTCAGGATGCCATCCATGACCTTCTTCGCCTCTTCCTGGTATATTTTGTTCGTTTCGGCGGCTCGTAGCTCCTTCTCAATAACGCGCACACAGACAACCTCATCTCCGTCGTCGACTAGCTCGTCGAGTAGCCACTGCAACGCATAGTCGGAGTAAGCATGCTCGTCGACGCCGACCATGAAGGTGCGCGATCGTCGTTGCGCTTGGTACCCCCGGTGACGGACATTCAACGTCAGCGAAAGCGTGTTGTTCTTAGTCGCCTCGCCCAAAGGAAGGTTGTCGAATGCGACATGTGACTGGAACCTGTCAGGCAAAGAGGGTTGAGTTAGTGTCGCCATTAGGTAACGTTGTTCCGAGCAATTGGTAAACGAAAAGACGCAAAAGGGCGGATGAGATGAAGTGTGCTAAGAAAACGTTGAGATCTGGGGATGATGAAGTGTGGAAAAGCGACGAGACCACTGGCCAGAGTCAAGAGGGGTGGAAATGAAAAAGGGTCGAGAGGTCGTGATTTGGTAAGAGGCAGCCGGGATCCAGGACAAGGACTGGGCGGAAATGCGACAATGACAGCTGCTTTCCCTCCTGTCAGGTCCTCCTGCGGGGGACGTCACGGTTGCGCCAGGCTAAGGGTGGCTGTGGAGGATGAGTCGATGAGCGCCCACCTCCGCCATTTCCCCTTCTCTTTGTGAACCCAAGAACACCGTAAAGAAACAGCTACAGGCGGTACAGCGGGGTAGTGGGGCAAAGACGAATGACTCTAGCGAATAACAGTAACCAATGCGTCATCCAGAACCGGCAAGGTCGCTTTCAATGAGGTGTCGTGTGATCCTCCTGATGGCATATTGCAGCCCGATGAGTGAGGCAAGATATGGACCGCAACGCGACATAGACTCAGAGTAAAAAACATAAGCGTTTGCTGGAGTTGCCGCGAGACGCTTGAAAAGTTCGTCTGACCTCAAGGTTGAAATGCTCAGGGGATGCCTGTTGGTGACAGTACTTGCTCATTGTAGTGATGCCGGCGGGATTACTCGGAAACTGGAAAATATGGGGTGCCATAACAGGCACGAGGCCGCCGCTGGCCGACTGGTCCGACCCCGCCATCCCGATCCTGACGCTGGAGTCGGCGCCCGGAGGAGGCTTCCTCAGTAGCGACGGCTATGCCCATGCATCCTAGGCGCAGAGAGTATCTGGGACGGAAGCTGAGAAACGGAGTGGAGACCAAGACGGCTGCGGCCGACGAATCGTTCATCCACGGGCGAGCGAAGCGACCGGAACTGCGGCATGGCTGCGGAGAAGGTGGCCGTCGTATTGAACTCTTGATCCGAGGCTTCCGGCCTAGTGGAGGACTGCAGAATCCACGCATGTAAGGCGAAACCAACGGCAGCATATAAGGTGGCCCCGAAGCCACACTGCATCTGACCCAACTGCATCTGCCACCGACGTACTTACGTCGAGTTGACCCAGATGTTATCTGTCCAGCTACACGACATCGGATACAGACACCGAACCAAAAAAGCGTCACGACCAAAGCTGCCACTTGCAAACACTTGGTTGTAAAGGGGCCCCGAATATGGGGGCAAAGAAATGGCTAAACGATAGGAACGGGAAGTGATACGCTTACCTCTCAGGTGGAGGCGATGAGGCCCTGATACGCTCCTTGTTCGTCTTCTTCTGGTTGCCCTGCGGCAGCGACGGGTTCCGCAATGGTGCAAAGCTCAGCGACGCTATTGATGATCCTCTCGGCCTTCCTCCATACGATTCGGTCCGTGACGACTCGGCAGAGAAGCTTCCTGTTGCGCTTTCGAGGGGGGAAGGGCTTGCGAAGCTCGAAAGTGTGGTCGCACGGCTCAATGGCTCTGCATCGTTGGCCTTGGTTTCCTCGTCTTTCTTTTGCGACTGCGCCTGCGACGAAGACTCAATGGAGAAGTAGTCCGTCTTTGTTTGGTCAGAGGGTTGTATCGGAGTCTTTGGCGAGACATCGGAATCGGGGCTTTGGACGTTGAGCATCGAACGGGGGGTTGGCCCAGACATGGTGTGCCGCCGTTCTGCCGCCGTCGTCGGTGCCGGCGTCGTCGTTGTTGTCTTGGGCTCCCACTGGAGTTCTGGAAAGTGAAGTCTCGGTGAAGATGGCGAGGAGTTGCCTTTGCTATTCTTCTTTTTCTTTTTGGTGCTTTGCGGAAGCAAGAATACGCTACGCCAATTTTCTGATGATTTCATTGAAGACTGTTCAGCTGCTGTGTAATCAATGTCAGCATGAGCGCAGCGGCAAAGCAGTCGTCCCGTTGGGAAGGAATCGGGCAGATGCGCTGGGTTGAACAGAGTCGCTCAAAGCCTCGGACGGGATATGTGCAACGAGCCTGTCTTGGAAGGGACAAAAGGGCAACGTGTAGAAGATCAGAAGGTAATTTGCGCCGAGGTGAGTGGCTGATGGTGGACTGACCACAGCGTCTGGAAATGGAAAGGAGCGTCTGTCGACTGATAGTTGGAACGTGGAGGTCAAACGGTGACAGTCAGGTCAGAGCGTCTCGTCGTCGAATATGCGTGGAGAGGTAGGTAGGTATGCGTCAGTGGCGAGGGTGACCTTATCGATGGAAATTGGATGAGCTCTTGTTCACGACAGGATTCGGCTCTGGGTACGTATGATGCTTAGTTGAGTTGTTTGAGGTTTGTATGTTTCTTCATCGGTTGTTCCTGAAAGTAAAAAGGGGATTGACGAAAAAGCTGTTCCGACAAGATGATATGTGTGTCCAACAATGCCAAGGAAGTTATGTTTGCAGCCGCACGCCGTGGTCTTTGAAGAGACGGAGCTCTCTCTTATGGCGAGGAAGCACAGCGTAGGAGGCAGTTCCGCCAAGACCTGCGGGGCCTCACAAGGCACAGGGAAGCGCGAGGATGGTGTTGCTGTTGGATGGGAAGCCGAAGAACGGGGTGTGGCGTAGACGGTAGCGCGACCGGTACGAGTCGAGGGTCGAGGGTCTAGAGTCTAAGTGATGACAGACCGGGTCGGTGAGCAGGTGATGTTGTTAGTTGACCAGGATGACAGCTGTTGCTGGTGCCGCTCAGGTGTGTGGGAAACGGGGCGGGAAAGCGGCCGGGGCAACAGAGCTGAGAGCTTGGCTAGCGGGTGGTAGCAGTAGAGGGAAAGCCGAGGAAGGACTTTATCTCGGTCTCTGACTCTTTGGACACGACGACGGGCTTGAGGTGACTCGAGTAGGTAGGTAGAGAGCTACCTAACGGTAAGGCATCCGTGAGAAGTTGGTAGACCCGTTGCAGTCCAGGCGGCTGGATGCGGGGGTGGACAAAGTATATCCTTGAGACCGAGACTGGCGTGGAATGGGCAGAGAATGAGACAATGCAGCTCGAAAAGAAGCTCAGGAATGGGGTTGGAAAAGTCTGGGCATGCGTGGGTTGTGGTGGAACAAACAGACTGTATCGGTACTCTGTCGATATTCGTAGCAGCAATTCGGAGAGTAGAGCAAGGTAGAAGAAGAAGGCTCGAGGTTGTGGAGGACTGGAGTGGTCTAAGTACGGTCTGGGCCTGAAAGCGAGACGCTCCGCTTGTCGTGTTTGCTCTGTTCTTCCGTGTTCCTCTCTTCGTCCTGGCAAGGTAGCTCTCGAGCTTGTGCAAATTCTCGAGAGGGTGACGGCGTGACGCACAGCTCCAGTGAGAGTTTTGGAGGGAGAAGAGCAGCAATGGGCACCAAAAACAGGGGTTGGCGATGGTTGATACCCTGGTCGGCCAGGGTCGTCTCGGCTGGGGGTTCTCTTTCGCGGTTGAGATGGTGGACGGTGGGCCAGGTAAATGCGCACACCTCAGGCGGAGAGGAGAGGCACTCGAGTCGAATCTGAGTCTTTCTGCTTTCACACCCACAGCTACGAGCCTACGGAGTACAGCTGGACGGAAAGGTGGAGGAGGGGAGGAGAGGGGCTCGGGAAGCTGGTGCAATGCGGTGCAAGTGCGCAGGGATGAGATGGCTGGAGATTTCGAGTTTGTTTGATGCCGTTGGCCAGGCCCAGAGAGAGTCGCGACTTGTGTGTGCACCGAGATTTGCCGGTGGGTTATGTACCCCTCTCCTCCCGCTCTCACAGCTACGGTCAACGTCTTCCTTCCTTTGACGTTTACTACCTTAGTATCCGTAAGGTGCCTACCTTCCAGGTTGCTCCTGCCTGTCTGACCCGAGAAGATGTATACATAAGGTATTGAGGTACTTGAGTTACAATGGAAGGTTGATGCGATTCGATCGAGAGAATGGACGCAGCTGATGGACGTAGGTACTTTAGACATGTAAGGCAGGAAGGAAGAAAGGTACTTTGGATGAATGGGAAAGATGGAAGGCAGAGACGTGACTTCCTCGGCATGCCTATCTCACTCAGCTGAACCTTCCTCGGAAAAGGAGAGTGCAGGAGCTAGGGTCACCCACAGGCACCAGCTGCATCGCACCTGCTGCACTTGCTGCACCTGATGTCAACTCGATGGGTTGCAGCTTCCATCCATCTTGGAAAGAGCCCCCGGTGCATCTTGTTCCTTCCCAGTTGCCAGGTTCCCCAGGCTGAGTCTTGAATAGTAGGAAAGTGCCAAAGTGACAAAGTGCATGCCTTTTTCCTTATTCGCATCATCGCAAGCCTTGATACCTTGCCTTAGTAATGCATATTGGACTTGCTCTTCTTCTTCTCAACCATCAGGCCTGTGACGATTTCTTCGCTTCGTAATTAGACTGCGAGATTCACATCCCCACGACAGGCTACAGATGCCTTGGACGGAATACGACAGCCTCAAGACCGCGGCCTCCGAAATTTCCTATCACGCCGTCTTCCAACACCTACACAAGCACAAGCACAAGCACCAGCACCAGCACCACCGGACCCAAAATAACACTGGGAACACCACCCCAAACTCGCCAAGACCACCCCAAGTACCGAACCCAATCATCCTCTCCGCTTCACGGCGCCTCTAATGCCTGAGCTGGCTCTAATTACACATCAAGACTTCCAGCTTCGCTTTCAAGCTTCTCGGCTCCCTTTTCCAAGCACCCGCCGTAACGCCCACCCCTGCTGGCTGTCTTGACTCTTACACAGTAGGCTCCCTGGCTCCCAAGGCAAGTCACTACGGCTTACTCTGTACAGTAGTCCCTATCCACCAGAGACTCTCCCTCCAATACCGTCCAGCACAAACACAACGAGACAGACTCTGGATGAGTCGCCTTTACGGGTATCCCTTCTTGAACAGACGAACTGGCCGCCGCCGCTGTTCGCGCTCTCTTGCCACATTACTGCTCGCTGGCTCGCTCGCCGTCTGCCCGTCCGTCGCTGTAATGACCTGCAGTAACACGACATGGCCTTT